CCCCTAGGCCTTGATAAGGGTCATTATAAAATGACCTGTGCCCGGGTGGGCTAATGCCCATTAAAAAAAAACGGGTCAATGAACAATATTGCACCACACCTCTCTTATGTCAACAGCGCCACAGTGCCATTGTGATTACTGAGTGGCAGACGTCCCCGCCCACGTATGTTTCAACAACTAAATGGGCAGACATTCTAAATTTCTAAAACGTGTGAATGATCCTGTGGTACTCATTATTGAATGTTTGTTTTATACACATAATATAAAGAAGCTTGGGTTAATTGTCACTCTGTAAGAACTTTTATCAGGTCAATAAAGGCCAACTGTTTAACGTTATGTGTAGAGTAATGCCTGAATCTAGCATTATATTCATTATATGTGCATTATTAAGTAGTTTAACATATGTGGATAACTGAAGAGGGTAGCTGCATGGAGCAAGATATACGTAAGCTGATGAGTGAAGCAGAAGTTTCCATGAATGAAAGTAGTAGGAGAGTTAGAGTAGACGAATGAAGCAGTAAGAAAGTGAGGTAGTTTAATAAAGCAGCATTGGGACAGTTAATGAGGTAGTACTGTACAAACACTGCGACTTCTGTTTCGGTTATGTTGCCAAAATCCCTCATCTGTTGTCATATTTTTTTAACACAGTTTTGTATAGATAGTCTTTTGAATGACTGTTCATGAGGAATCTGATAAATGAAGCAGTAGATTAGACAGAAACGGAATGAATCAGAAAATTAGACAAAAGATGAATGAAACAGTGGATTAAAAAGATGATGATTTAGTCAGTAGATTTGTTTAACAGTAGATAAGCTACAAATCCAACGCAGGAAGCGAGAAGGACCCCTCACGTGAGCAGTCAGGGAGCAGCCACCGCCAGTACCACACCCATACATACACTTCTTCATTCCTCTACTTAGCTCCGCCTGTGTGTGTGTGAGTACCTCGTTACTGCCATCCACACATTTCTCCGCACTACTACTGGAAGTATACATTTAATTATTTCCTGTACTGTCCTTCTGTTTCTCTCTCTCTTAAGATGTTTAGTTACATACCCAGTGCATTATACAGTACTGTAGGGTCAAGGAACAACTCATTCTCGCTCCGTTATACTTGATCCTCTTCACCACTTGTCAGTTCTGTTACTCACTGTTGGCAATTGATGGGTATGTACAGGCTCTTGAATATATCTTTAAATTTGGACTTAGGAGCTCACACTTGTCACAACATTGTGTGGCAGATTATTCCAAGAGTTCACAAAATTTACTCCAAAGAATTTAGCTCTGACAGTTTTATGTACGAACCAATTTTATATTTCGAATTAATAAACAAAATTAGGCCTACCATCAAACACTTTTTGTACGTCCCACAACTTATTTTCAGACTGTTAATTCAATGAGGCTTAAAAAAAAGTAAAAAATAAAATAAAAAAATAAAAGTATATATATATATATATATATATATATATATATATATATATATATATATATATATATATATATATATATATATATATATATATTAACTTGCATGTAGTCTAGAATTCTTCGGCAAACGAAAATAGTAATTCCAACTGGAGTAACACTTGCTCGCGACAAAATTTATAAACTAATAGTAAAGTTTAAGTGGTGACTTTACAGGTGAATAAACTGAATGTATGCTTACGAGCTTCCAGCGACTGAACAATTATTACATTTTTAATTTGTAAGATAATTGACATGTGCTATTGGCTCGACCGTTTGTTTTATGTAATATTGAGCTCTTTGTTTCTTCCCAACAGTTCAACACTTTCGATTGATACATCTTCATCTCCATCTTTCATGAAATGATGGTAGCGTACATCGTTATCCCAGTGGTGGTGCTGCTCACGCTGTTGTTGTCAATATTCTTATATTGCTGCTGTAATAGGAGGCGCACCAAACCACACACCTTCCCCTCCGGCTCCACCATCAGGAGTAGCTTCAGGCGAGCTTCTTACTACTTCTTAACTAACTTAGCTAACCCACAAGATTTACGTGTCTCGGACTTAATGCGGAACTTGACAGCCGTCAACTATCGGAATCGAGAAACCATTTGCCATATCGAGAGTTCTAACAAGATTGAAGATCAAATTGCCAGTGATCCTATGATAAAATTTTTGTTAGGACCTCCACTGCCCCAAGTTCCAAACCGGCCTCCGCCGCCGCCGCCTGCGCCACAGCACCTGAAGAGGTTACGGAAGGGCAGTACGCACAGATCACGACGAAGTAATGGCGCCAGTTATTACCACTCTGTGAAGCGCCGCGCTTCCTTTTTCCCGGCACCCTCATCACAGAAACACACCGAGAGTCAAAACAGTGATAAGAGCATCGTCCCCCAAAAGACAAGATATAAGAGGAAGAAAAGGAACAGTAAGCAAATTTATGCTATAAATTTGGATAGGTATAAAGACAGTCATGGAGAGGACCGCAACTCAACCCAAAGGACGTCAACCAGCTTCACTAGAGGTCGAGAAAAGATTCGTGGTAAGAGCAGTGTTACCAAGAAGTTACATGAATTTAAACAGAGGTCTTCAATGGTTACGAAGTCTTTTCCTCACCTGGATCCTGTCTCCCGAGTCTTTAACGAAGAGGGTGTGTTAAGTTGTTCAGCAGAAAGTCAAGTGGAAAACGTTCTCGATTGCAAGTCTTCCCACACATTGTTCACAGCTCATCTCTACGAATCCCCTTCCGTGTGGCAGCGCCCCAACAACGTCGTCAATCCTCGGCCAGGTAACAATACTTGGGAACCCACACACCTGATGCCTACTGACTCACTGCCTGCCCCGCCTTTCGAGTCACCCGAGCTAGTCGCCTCTATTCTATCCAAGACGCCGTTTATACCCTTACCTGCACCAATAGTGACGCTACAGGAGCCAAACGACAAGAAAAATACTACCAATAGTCGCCCACATTATCCTCTAGCCCGCACTGACCACTCTCTGGGCCTTCATTCCACCTTCAAGGGCCAGATGTCAACATTGCAGCTTCCAAGGACGAAGCGTGGAGCCTTCCCGGAGGACCGAGTTGATGATATGGACAATTTATGTTACCTCAGGCATAGATCCCGTAGTAGTGGGTCAGAGCAGGGTGGGCGGCCCTCCACTCCGCCCACACCAAAGTTGCACCCTCGCTCCATGTTTAGTTCCCCACACCCCTCGTCTGCCTCATCTCATACCCGTTTGACAGGCATTTCCACTCATTCCAGGTGTTGATTATTCACATATGAGCTTCAGTTTTTCGAACTTTGTGCTTTTAATGAGAATGAATTACTTTATTAAAGTTTTAATGTGTATATGTATGGAACTGTTGTATATAGATGCTGGTCAAGTCATCAACATCTAGTTAGAATAAAACTTGGTAAATATTATCTAAAGAGATTATGGTTACTGTCTCACAGTTGATCCTTAACAGATGCACCGGCATGTGAGTGTAGATGACTCATCTTTCACGAAATTTGAATATACCAGTGCCGGATTAACCATGAGACAGTTGAGGCACTGGCCACAGGCCCCCCCCGACTCTAAGGGGCCCCCAAATCCAAACATTCTCGAAGTTGAAGCATATAAAACATGAACTTCGTTCAACGATGTCCTAGCAACGTCTCAATTTTCTGTCTCTTATGAACATTGAATGTGTTATTTTGCAGAAGCTTAATAATGATGAAATCATTGATAAATTTTGGTATATTTTGTTCTTGCTATATATATATATAACCTTGAGGGTAGGGGGCCCCAAGTTGATCTGTGCCTCAGGCCCCTATTAAGCTTAATCCGGCCCTGGAATATACTGTACTGTAATTTGAAATAAGGAAGAAAGAGAAGAAAGACCTTTAACAGTTCCGTAAGCAACATCTGCACCATGTGAATAAATGGGAATTTAAAACCTCTAATTTGCGAACAGATGCTTTATAAATAATGAGTGTTCTCATCACTAAACTACATCATTTCAGTTCAGGGCGAGAGGATATAGTAGACCTAATAATGTTATAGAAGCAACAGTACGATGTCTTAGCTGTGTGTTTCTTGCTTCATTGTTTGAACCTCGGGTATTTCCGAGTCACATTGTGGCTGTTGGGGGAGGGGGGCGAACTTCTGGTCAGTTGCACACTGTTCATCAAAACGCTCACTGAAAAAAATTGATTAAATTCTCAAAGTCGTGTCATAAACAGTAGTGTTTGTGTTCTATTGACATCTCTACCTGTATTAATGTATGCAGTATAGTACTATACGCTTCCTTTTGAAATACTGCAATGAAATGTTTTGACATGAATAATAAATTATGCTGTGTGATTGTATCTACAGTACAATGTACTGGGTCATAGCACATTCTGTAAGCAATATATTAACTACCAACTGTATGATTATATATATATATATATCTATATCTATATATATATATATATATATATATATATATATATATATATATATATATATATATATATATATATATATATATATATATATATATATACACGTGTGTGTGCGTGTGTGTGTAGAATTGATGATGATTATTTTGTGTTATATTCCATATATCTTATAGCTAGGCTACTCTGTCCTCTCCTCCTCTAACTTACCCTCCTCCCTCCTTCACTGAACCTAACCAACCTTCCTCCTTCCCTCAACTTACATACTACCATCCTCCCTTTACTGAGTTCCTTCCTTTCCTCAACTTGATCATTTCCCTCACTTTCCTCACTTCCCTAACCCCCCCCCTCCCCCTCACTTCTCTACCTACCTTACAATAACAGTCATGTCTATGTAATTTCATGATGTAGTGTAAACAATATATTAGCGGCAAATGCTAATATTGCTTTAATACTTCCATGAATGATTTATTCCAGGAACTTGTGACTTGTGTATATACTGAATTACTGGTGGCATCCTGTTTTACTTTCCTTGTATATTTTGGTCTGTTGTGTATAGTTAGTAAATAAAGTTAAACCTTTCATATAGATGTATGTTGATAGGTATGATGGTCAGTGTCAAAATACCTAAGACTTTTTCATGGGGCTACGTGAAGTAAGCAGACCTAACCTAACCTAACCTAACCTAACCTAACCTAACCTCATTTTTGGCTTTGATATGTCATTTTCCTTATTCTATAAATTTAAATTGTTTCGATGTTTTCGTTATTTTTGGCACTTCTTTTATTTTCCTATTAGTGTAACTTATCTTTACTTTTTCTGTAGCACAACATTTCAAAAGCTTCTAGCTGTCTGTGAAATTACCACACTTCTAGCCCATACAACAGAGCTGAGTATACATACCATTTCAGCAGCCTTTTTCTCGAATTGAAATAAATATAGTAAGTAAAATTACATAATTTAGTCAAACAGTTGATCCCATTCCGTTCTATTTGTTTTATAAATTCTCCCGGAAGTTAATCGACCCCACAGGCCCAATCATTTCTCAAATTACTCACAGCTGCCTCAGTTTCTTTTACCAGAATTGGAAGTTAATCTTCATAAACTCGTCCTTTCATCTTTTTTCCTCCACTGTATCATATGAGTGTAGGGCTCTTCTATGTTCTCTACCCCTCTCTTCTACTGCGACACACAGGATCTTAATATACTTACTTCTCATAATCTCATGCATTTTTGTCGTCTTTCTGTTTCATTGTGTTTTATTTTTATGTGCATTTATCTGCAGTTATGTCTCCTGTCTTCACCATCATCTATCTCCTTACTTTTTTTTTCTTACGGTGAATAGCCCACCCGGGCACAGGTCATCGACCCACAACCGGGCCTAGGGGACGAAAAAATAAGAGTAAAAAGAAATTAAAATAGAAGAGAAAAAGTCTATTAATCTACACCACGAAGATGTCGGAAAACCATCTTTATGAAGTAAGACAGATTGTAAGAGTATAGAAACACGGAAGAAGGCAGAGCATTCCACAGTTTGGCTGTGTAAGGAAAAAAGGATGTTCTATGACGGGTTATTCTAGTGTGACCGACATCCACACAGAAACGGTGGGCACCGCAGGCGGGCACGACGAGTGTTACGAGCCCACAGGATGCCAAATCCACCGAACATTGCCCGTTAAAGTATGTAGGGGTATCGTGATATTAATGTTGTCTAGCACTCAGGATGGAAGGAAACTCTAATGTGGTTTTCTTGTATAATATAAGTTATATGATAGACAGCGTGGAGCTTGCTGGAGGTGGTGTTGCTTGTTCAGGAAGATGGGCAGAATAAGAGTTGGTTGGTGAGGAAGCTCAGAGAAGGACAGCTGGTGGGTCGCCATGCTCGCTGGCGGGAGCGAGGGCCGCCAGGCAGGTGAGGAGAAGCGAAGGCAGCCAGGCAGCGGCGGAGGAGGAGGCTGTTGCTTGTTCAAGAAGAATGGTCAGAATCAATCTCAATGGAGAGACAGAGCTTATATACCCAGCAGCCGCTATGAGTCATGTTGGGAAAACCCGAGAAGTCGCCGGTTCCTAGTTTCGTTGCTAGGATATGGTAACATCTGGTTGGTTGCTAGGGAAGGCGGTAGCAGGTGGTGGCTGTGGCTACGCAGTTGTAGGCAGTTGTAGGGGAGACGTCCACTACAATACTCCCCCTTCCCTCCAGGCTGTGTAGGAGACTTGTTGTCTGTAGAGTTGCTTAGCACATGTGAGGCAGACCGGGCGGTGCATGCCTCATGTGAGACAACGGCGATGGCGTGATGAGCCGATCGCTGAAATACAACTGTCTAGATACACACTATCTGTGGGAGAAGGGAGAAAAAGGGTGTGTGGAGGCGAGGAATGTTGTGCTTCCCTCACGACAGGTACAGGGTCGTCAGATGCGCCTGCTGGGATGTGTGTGGGCCTGGGTCAGGAGCAGGGGCTGCGTCAGCAGAAGCGGATAAGGGCTCGTGACAGCAGCTGGGTCCACGACAGCAGCAGGGTGCAGGACATTAGCAGGGAGTACCTGAGGGAGAAAAGAGGGTGTGTGGGGGCGATGAATGTTGTGCTTCCCTCACGACAGGTACAGGGTCGTCAGATGCGCCTGCTGGGGTGTGTGTGGGCCTGGGTCAGGAGCAGGGGCTGCGTCAGCAGAAGCGGATTAGGGTTCGTGACAGCAGCTGGGTCCACGACAGCAGCAGGGTGCAGGACATTAGCAGGGAGTACCTGAGGGAGAAAAGAGGGTGTGTGTGGGTCCGGATTCAGGAACAGAGACCGCGTCAGGAGTTATTGCTGGGCCGGGGTCGGCGTCTGAGGCAGGACGGGTGTGCTGGGGTCGTCAGAATGTGGTGCGTGGGGCAGGAAGAGGAGCCGGTGTCTGCTTGAAGACTGGGAGCGTGATCAGTGTCTTCTCCATCCTGTGTGAGTGCTAATCTCCGGGAGTCACCATTTGTAGGAGTTCGAAATATTAATGTTGTCTAGCACTCAGGATGGAAGGAAACTCTAATGTGGTTTTCTTGTATAATATAAGTTATATGATAGACAGCGTGGAGCTTGCTGGAGGAGGTGTTGCTTGTTCAGGAAGATGGGCAGAATGAGAGTTGGTTGGTGAGGAAGCTCAGAGAAGGACAGCTGGTGGGTCGCCATGCTCGCTGGCGGGAGCGAGGGCCGCCAGGCAGGCGAGGAGAAGCGAAGGCAGCCAGGCAGCGGCGGAGGAGGAGGTGTTGCTTGTTCAAGAAGAATGGTCAGAATCAATCTCAATGGAGAGACAGAGCTTATATACCCAGCAGCCGCTATGAGCCATGTTGGGAAAACCCGAGAAGTCGCCGGTTCCTAGTTTCGTTGCTAGGATACGGTAACATCTGGTTGGTTGCTAGGGAAGGCGGTAGCAGGTGGTGGCTGTGGCGACGCAGTTGTAGGCAGTTGTAGGGGAGACGTCCACTACAAGTACCTGTAAAAGAGAGTGAAGCAACGTTGCGATGAAGAGAAAGGGAAGAGAGATTATCAGAGATTATCAACTAAAGGAGGAGAGTTAATAAGGCGAAATGCCTTTGATCTTACCCTATCTAACAGATGGGCAGAAGAGCCACCCAGATATGAGACCAATACTCCAAGTTAGAACGAATGAACCCCTTATATACTTGAAGAAACTGCTCAGGAGTGAAGTAGCTACGGCATCTGTACAACATTCCCAGCTTTCGGGAGGCAGCTTTAGCAATGTTGTGGATGTGTGGCTTCCATGACATTTTAGAGGAAATGGTGAGGCCTATCATATCTATTTTAGAATTTGGCAGAATGATTGCATCCTGAAATGTGATTGGTGGGAGATCTTCTATTTTGGAAAGTGTAATTGGTAAATACTGTGTGTTATTACTCTTGAATTTAACCAAGTTTCTACCTACCCAATCGGAGATGCTGCACAGATCCGCATTGATAGATGAAACAGATCTAGTTGAGAATTAGTGGGAAGGGGAAAATGTGAAGAAGGCTGAAGAGTAGAATCATCAGCGTAAGAATGGAAAGAATTAATCGTAGTGTGAAGTAAATCATTGATAAAAAGAAGGAAGAGAGTAGGTGAAAGAACAACCCTGTGGGACACCACTATTGGTAGAGAAAGAACGAGAGATCGATTCCTCGACAACAACTGCCATGGATAGGTTCTCAAGGAAGCTAGAAATTAGAGAACAAAGCGGAGGAGAGAAACCATAAGAGGGAAGTTTAGAAAGCAAAGACTTGTACCATACCCTGTCAAATACTTTGGAAATGTCGAGGGCCACGATGAAAGTTTCCCCATAATCCCTAAGAGAGGATGACCAAAGATGGGTGCAGTAGGAGAGCAGATCACCAGTAGATCTCGCCTGGCGAAAGCCATAATGGTGATCCGACAAAAGAGAAAGACGTTCAAGGTGACGGAGAAAATGAGAGGTTAAGATAGTTTCGAAACTTTTGGAGAGAGATAAAGTTAGGGCAATAGTTAGAGGGATTAGAATGGTCACCCTTCTTCGGGATGGGCTGAGCCAAGGCATGCTTACAAGAAGAAAGAAAAGTTTGGGTTTTGGGGCAAAGGCCAAAGAGTCGAGCAAGCACAGGGGCCAGAATTTCAGCACACTCCCTCAGAACACGAGGGGGTATTCCGTTCGATCCATGCGCCTTACTCACATCCGACCTGGAAAACACACCAGCATCCCTACGAGTGGAGATTATAGGAAAGTGCCGAGGGTCAGGTGGAGGGGTAGAGTTGCAATCGTCTAAGGTGGAGTTAGAGGAGAATACGGTGCCAAAGAGATTGGCTTTATCAAGTGGAGAGTTGGCTATAGAGTTATCAGGTGGGAAGAGAGGAGGAAAAGAGGGAGTGCAGAAGTTATTTCAGATGTTTTTGGTTATGGGCCAGAAGGATTTACAAGAAGAGTTAGTCAGGTCAGCGGTCTTTCTTTTTATGAAATTCCGCTTGGCCCTTTCGAAGAATAACCTTACAACGATTCCTAAAAGTAATGAAAGGGGAGTGGGTAACAGGAGAAGGAGATAGTTTCATAACGTAATACGCCCTATCTCTCTCCCTACATGCAAGAGAACAGGAGCGATCAAACCATGATTGTAAAGTGAAAGTTTTCGTAGAAGATGGAATAAATGCATTCATACCACCAAGTATAACCCCAGCAATTCTGTCCTTTTCTTTTCTTTTATCCTCTTCACCAAATGATCAGCTCGTTAGCCGCTTGGGCGATCGGTCACGTCTCTTACGCACTGTTGGCAAGTACTGGGCATGCACCGGCTCCAGTGTTGGTTAAGTTTTGTCTTGAAAAAGCTCACACTCGGTGCCGTCACAACACTTTCTGGTAGATTGTTCCAAGAATTCACAACTCTCACTCCGAAAAAGTTTGCCCTTACAGATTTCTGGACTTGCGGCTTCTTCAATCTTGAGCTGTGACCCCTTGTGGGGCGAGCGCATACCAAGCTATCTTTAGGATGTCAAAAGATCCTTTTTAATATTGTTATGAATTGCTGTACAGGTACTTTGTAAGTTCACTTCCTCGTATTAACTTTCTTCGCTTATCCATCATCATATGTGCATTTAATACTGTTCAGGCTTAAATCATATCATTACGTTACAATAGATAAGCTTAGGTTAGGATTTCTATAAAACTGTTAATTGGTATGTATTAGTATGATCTATTTATCATTAAACACGTAACAAGGTTAATAATACAATATGACATCAACAATTAATTTTTTAGAGATAAACCTCTCTGTTAACGCATATCAAATTGATAAGTGGTCAAATGATAAATTTATCAATGAAATAGAGAGGGTATAAGATAAGATACAGAAGAAAGACACGTGTATTATACATTGCAACGATTTACATGAACTGAATCCGGAGATTAAACTCAGAATTTCATGAACCATATGTTTTGCAACAACTCCCAGCAGTGTTCATAAGGCGTCATCAAAGGAGACTAAGCGACCTAAACAATGAGCAGAAACGACAAGGCAACAACTTCACTCTCGTGGCGGAGTCGTGGTGCGTGTTAAACTTTAGCAAACTTATCAGGGACTCATAACCTATCAAGAAAAAAAGTTGAAAACTTACTTGTGCTTGTATAATTATAGTTCTCAGGAAAGTCAAGCAAAGCAAGAACTTACCACAAGGGTCACCAAAAGGTTTGACATTCATCCACAACCATGTCAGACACAAGGTTAGTAAAACTAAGTTACAGTGTTTTTTACCTATAGTGGCTGATGTTTTCAAAGCAAATATATGGTAAAGGAGGAGGAGGAGGAGACAGTTAGCACCAGAAAATGTAATAAGAACATAAGAAAATAAGGAGTCTGCAATAGGCCGGTTGGCCTGTGCATGGCAGCTCCTGTCGAGAGTTACTACCACTCTCTATCATCCATGAATCTATCTAGCCTCCTTTTGAAACTTTCCAGAGTTCCCGCACTTACTACAAAGTTGCTAAGCTTGTTCCACTCGTCCACCACCCTATTTGTGAACCAGTTTCTTCCTATCTCCCTCCTAAACCTAAACTTATCCAACTTGAATCCGTTGCTCCGAATCCTATCCTGCTCAGATATTATAAGAACTTTATCTATATCCCCTTTATTGATTCCTTTCACCCACTTAAATACTTCTATCATATCTCCCCGCACTCTTTGTCTTTCTAGGGAATGCAAGTTAAGTTTCTTTAACCTATCCTGACATGGAAGGTTTCTAAGTCCCGGAATCATTTTTGTCATTCTTCGCTGCACCGACTCTAGTGAATTTATATCCATTCTATAATAGGGGCACCAGAACTGAACCGCATAATCGAGGTGCGGCCTGACTAGCGCAAGATATAGTTGCAATAAGACCTCTGCACTCTTGTTACTTACACTTCTAGATATAAAACCCAATACTCTGTTTGCCTTATTTCGAACATTAACGCACTGTTTTCTAGGCCGTAGGTCCGGGCTTACAAGTACCCCTAGGTCTCTTTCACAAGTCGACTTCTCTAGGTTGATGTTGTTAAGGCTGTATACATTATAGTATTTGTTCTTCCAATATTAAGTACGCTGCACTTGCTGGTGTTGAATTTCATTTGCCATTTTTCAGACCACCCCTGCAGTTTATTTAGATCCTCCTGTAATGCATTTGCATCCTGCCCTGAATTAATTTGCCGCCCTATTTTGGTGTCATCCGCAAACTTGCTTATGTCACTGCTGATCCCAGTATCTAGATCGTTCATGTAGATTATGAACAAGAGTGGGCCTAGTACTGACCCCTGGGGAACCCCACTGGTTACACGGCCCCACTCAGATTTAACACCATCTACGCTGACCCTCTGCGTTCTATCGGTGAGCCATGATTTTATCCAATTTAAAACTTTCCCCTCGATACCATGAGCCTTAATTTTTCTCAGAAGCCTCTGATGCGGTACTCTGTCAAATGCTTTGCTAAAGTCTAAGTAAATATCATCGTAATTTTCGTCATTATCTACTACCTCGAAGACTTTCCTAAAAAACGTTAGCAGATTTGTTAGACAAGATTTTCCCTTTGTAAACCCATGTTGAGAGTCGTAGATTAATTTGCTTTTCTCTAGATGCGATCGGATGCTATCTGCTATAATTGATTCAAGAAATTTCCCCACTACTGACGTCAAACTGATCGGCCGGTAATTTGACGCTGATGCTCTGTCTCCCTTTTTGAATATGGGTACTACATTTGCCTGTTTCCACAAGTCTGGCACAACTCCAGTGTCTAATGATTTTGTAAATAAGTTTATGAGGGGTCCGCTAATCTGTTCCCTACACTCTTTCAAGACTCTAGGGAAAATTTCATCCGGCCCTGGGGATTTTGTTTTCTTTAGTTTATTTATCTTCTTAAGAACATCCTCTTTTCTGATAGTGATATTCTTTAGTTTCTCTTCTTCCTTTCCCTTAAATATCAGTTCCACCTCTGGAATTTCATCGCAAATTTCTTCTGTGAAAACTGATAAGAAGTAGCTGTTCAATGCTTTGCTTATTTCTTCACTGCCATTTATCAATTCTCCCTTCCCTGACTTTAAAGGCCCAACTTTGTCCTTGACCTTTGTCCTATATACCTGGAAAAATCCCTTGGGATTCGCCTTGGATTCTCTTGCTATTTTGATTTCCTAGTCTCTCTTTGCTTTCCTTACATTTTTCTTAACATTCCTAGATAGTTCATTGTACCTGTTTCTGAGCTGCTCCTCCCCTCCCTTTAATTTCTTCTATATTCCTTTCTTTATTCCTATGTCATGTTTAAGTTTTCTGGTCATCCACCTTGGCTCATTCTTATTTGACCTAATTTTTCTGTATGGTATATTTTGTTCTTGTGCTTTATGTAATATACTAATGAATATATTATAGTCATGATCAATTGTTGTGTCATCTATGACCTCACCCCTTCCTACTGGGGACTGACGTGACTGTTCCCAGGTGACCTCACCTAGGTACCTTCTTAACCCCTGATAATCCGCCAACCGAAAGTTTGGGACTCTGACCATATTGTCATTGTTTTTCGTTTCCCAGTGGAGGAGAAGGTTAGCACCCAAAGGAATTTGGATATTTGTTGCCACTAAACAGATCTCGGGAATTTTATAGTTGCAATCAGTAATTTGAACAATTCTAAGACACTTTTCTTCAATGGCATTTTGGGCGCTAATTATGTATAAGCGAGATATTTAACATTGGTTAATATTTAGTAGTTGCCAACACCTAACTGAATATCGAGTCATATAGGGAGAAAGAGAGAACAAAAAAATTCTATAACGTTTCCGTCGGAAATTAATAGTTTTGAGTTATTTTTAACTTTTATAATATTCGGCCAATCAGCGTAAGTGTTGATGTGACGTCATTGTTGTTATAATAATAAAATAATAATAATTAACTGTTTATTGAAAGAGCTTGGCAGCCAGAAGGCTGAAAATATACAGTTACATAATTGGGGAATGGGTTTCGAATTATAAATAATATACAAATAACATAAGTGATATAAATAAGATATATAATAACTAGATGGGGAAAAGCTCAGACTACAGGGCATTTCAACATAGTTACAGTGCAAGAAGTAGTATTTACTGGGAGTGAATACAGTGGTTTGTTACAAGTTATTGATAATTTTTACAATGGTTGGGACTGGGCTGTTCTTATAGCGATCTGTTCGTGCATGTATGGGCTGGATGCAGTTGTGGTGTCGAACAGCAATTCTCGGGCTAGAGATCTCAGGTGGTAGTAGGAGCCGGTGTTGAGGATGGTGCAGAAGCTTCTTACCAAATTTGCAGATGAGGTCATGGTGATGGTCAGTGAGAGTCGAAAGGGTCAGTGTGTTGAGCGCTTCTTGATATGTGGAGTAGGAAGGGGAGAGAATAATCTTGCATGCCCTCTTTTGCACTTTTTCTAGGTGTTTCCGTTGTGAGACATTTAGGGAGGAAGACCTGTCAGGGGAGAAATAGGTGAGCTTGGGAAGTATGAATGTTGAGTAAACACTGAGGAGCTCGGGTGCAGGAACTCCGAGGGACTTGAGTCGGCGGAGGAGGTGGAGATCAGCGTCAGTGCCAATGTTGGAAGATGGTGTCTGTGTGAGAAGGATGTATATTGGCTGACTGGCGCATTATTCAGTGCTTTTTGGACAATGAAGCAGCAGCCGTTGACTTTTTGTGGCTGACAGTGTTGTTGTTGCATCTGTATAGTGTTCAAGGTGTAATTCAGAGTGTCAGTACCATGTAGATCACGATACATGGTACCGTGATAAGAGATGGACACTGATGAAGACACCACTTCCTCATTCAAGTCGCATCACTTTATCCTCCTGTCTCTCTTACTTAATGTAAACTTCTTACACACTTTGGGTTAGGTTAGGTCTGGTTAGGTTATATTAGACTAGAATAGAATAGGTTTTAGCATTTTTGGACCTTTCACTTTTTTCAATATCTCGACAACTGCTCATTTCCGACAGCAATGAAGGTCATATTTGTATTTAACACAATGAATTACGCAAGGAAAACCCATTTTCAAAAGTCAATTACTAGGTGTGGGGAACTACTGGATTTGAATACATTTCCAATTTCTTTTGAATAGCATTGGATTTTAAGTGATCTGTATGTTCGTATATTTATGGTTCTTCCTCAAGGAGGACTGAAAGAGAAGGTAGCCGTTTTGTTTTTCAATGGCGTTATTACGTTGTGTTCAGTATCATATGGCAAGCTATCTGCTTGTGGAGGATGAAGACTGTCTCCAAGAGTTCATTTGTTAATATGGACTAGTTGGTAGGACATGCATGTGTTCAAAATGCAGCAGGAACTGACAGTGAAGAATAAATTTGTGTTTCAGTACAACAAACGATCGTCCTCATAAGTCCACAAAAGACGTAAAATACACAATACTACAAGAAAAGTGCTTTAATTGGTACCTGAAATCAAAGTAAATTGTTTCTGCTTAATCTGCCAGGTTCATTTTGGTTCTGTGTGCATTGTTTGTTTCCATTTTCTTAATTAGTATCATGCAAATATCATCTCCAGAAATTTTGATGCAATTCTATAAATACATTCAGGTGCTAACCACTAACTGTTTCCTCCACCATTATCCCAGAAAAAAATGTATGGAAATGCTCCAAGTCAGTGCTACCTTACCAGTTATGTTATGCAAATGTGATCATTCTTTCAATCGACTGAAGAATCTCAAAAGTTACTTGCACTCTACAATGAAACATGACAGAATAAATGGTCTCGCCTTGTTGAATGTTTTTGAAACATAAACATAAATAAATTAATCACTGATTTGCTCGAGTTTATGCAAGGCGTATAGAATTAGTAGATATTTTGAATACAGTATACATAATAAAACAGTGTCAGCTAGTGTATGATTTCTTCATATTTCCATAGCTGTGTGAATTAACACTGAATAAAGATTATCGCATTGCTTGAGTTTGTGTTCAATTTGGTAACTTGATTTATTGTGGTCAATTTAGTGGTTATATACAGTATTGATTTACTGTATTAACTTTTAGTTACTTTGATTTATTGTGTTAACTTTTGTGGTTTGAGGTACTGTAATTACGAGTGTGCAATAAATACAGTACAGTATTAATGATCTTTTCTTTAAAAATAATAAAGTCTTGCCCTAATGGCAAAGTTCAGGCCTGCCATTGGTTCAAGTCAACACTCATATTACAAAATATAACATTATTGCCTCCTGTCTGCTCTATTATGTGGTTTAAGTTCATTCTCTTGATAGCAACTTTGTAGTTGACCACTGACCATTGATGACCATGAAATAGTCTTTTTAGATTCTTTACAGAACTACTTATTGAGGTAAGGCTTAATTCCTTAAAACCTTTTCTCTCATTTTTGTAGCAATTACCCTGGTAGTAATGCATACTTTTTTCCTCTCATTTTTAGGGACAGACAAGAATTTCGTCAGACAACAGTGGAAGACTATGCTGGTTGTTTTGTTAGAATACAGTGCCTCTGGAAAGAAAACAAGAAAACTAGATTCAGTGAGGAACTTCAGAAAAATCTGGCAACCTCTGCCAATCCTTATAAATTGAGTATGGTGTGTGTAAAGTTATGCCCAGAATTATATAAGTGTAAATCAAATGCAATGGCAGCAAATATACTAGTAGAGCTGCAGTGTTTTTTGAAGCAAACAAAAAACAAAGAGAAATTTGAGTCCTGTCTTAGTGAAGGACTACAAAGAGATGCATTCCAGGTTGCAGTCAGACAAAAAAATACTGGATTATTAAGGCTCCTTGTAAAGGCTTACCAGCTAATAAATATACGAGACTGTCTTCTTCCTCATATCTGGGATTTGCAAAAAGCAGGCCGTTTCAAAGAGGTGTGCACACTTGCCACTCTCCTTGATATCCAGTCACAGTTTTCTACAGCTGAACTAATTGTTCCTTTATTCCTCCAGGATCGCTTGTCATTAGCAGATGAATTTTTGGGCAAAAGTCCCACTCATCAGAAAGAAATCTTGCTGTTCATTGATGACCTCATTGGAAACAAGGATAATGTGGATTTTAAAAAATTCAAAGTTAAAGATCTACAGAAACTTAAGTCCAGGAAACTTCTTTGTAATATTGTTGCCAGACTGTTGAAAAGATATAACTTTGATTCTTCTATCTGTCCTCATTTTCAGAAACACCGAGCTACAGGAGGATTACGTTATTTGTTCTATAAATACTACGTGGAGAACAGTATTCAGAAATTCACTTTTGATAGTTTAGTAGCTGATGTGTTAGAGGAACACCCAGACCTCAAAACCATTGTGATGGATCTCTTCGTTGAGTACTGTGATCTACAAGCTGCTGTACCTTATGTTGCCAGGCTACAACTAACATCACAAGAAATTCCACAACAGATTAAAAATGCAGTATTGCAATATCCACACCTTTCTGAGGAGAATAAAAACATTGACCAGTACAGAAAACATACTGAGGAAGAGGAACTATGGGATGATGAGGCTGGACATTTCTATTCCCTTAGTATACCTTCTGAAAAAGTGGTTATAATTGATACAGTTGACAGTGTGGAGAGATGCACTAAGGAACTATTGTCCAGCCCTCTGTTAGGCATTGACACTGAATGGAAGCCTACATTTGGAACAGGGGCAGGTGAGCAAGCAGCACTATTACAGTTAGCTACAACTAACCAGGTGTTTCTTTTAGATCTTATTTCACTGCAACCAGTATTGAAGGACTGCCACTGGCATCTTATTGGTCAGATGTTTTCAGATCCCCAGATTACAAAACTTGGATATGGTATCAAAGGGGATTTCAAAGTTCTTGGTCATTTGCATGCAGAGTTGAAAAAGGGCATATCTAATGCAAAAAATGTTATTGACTTTGATCAAACAAAAAGTATACTCGTAAAAGAATGTCCCAACATATTCTCCCATAGTGATGTATTACACAAGGGTTTAAGTGATTTGATATATCGCTGTTTTGGATTACCTCTTGATAAAAAAGAGCAATTTTCTAACTGGGCAGCAAGACCCCTTACCAAATCACAACTCATGTATGCTGCCTTAGATGTCAGGTGTCTCCTTGATGTTTATGCATACTTAAATCAACAAGCACAAGATCTTAACATCCCAAATTGGAAGGACATAAAACATAAGGTGGTCGTTAAACCAAAAACGAAAACAAAGCCCACAAAATCATTCCCCGTTAGTGAAGCAAACACACCACAAAATGATACGAGAGGAAAGAATCCAGTAAATGCAGCAGATTTCCAAGTTATATGTGATACCATGGTACAGGTTTGTGTCAGCTTCTTAAGTTATCTTTAAATTTATCTTTAACTGCTTTTAATCATTATTCATGGGGTTTATATATAAATTTTAAATAACTTTTGGTACGTTGTTTAGATATGTATTAAATGTACAAATAATAGTGTCACTTCAGATATTATATACTGTAACATATAATCATGTGTTTATTCTAAGCAATATGTGTATTATCCCCCCAAGTCTTTTAGGGCTAAAACTCAGGACACCCCAAAATCATTGGTGGCTGGGACTAATTAATTTGTTATGTATATACCTCCACTGAGACTGAAACTCTTAAAAAAGGTGGTCTTGGAAACAGCCATTGAAGACAATGAATCATAATGCAACATCAGTTGTACACGCCTCACCTGTCACTTGTCTGTGGCCATAAGCTGTGTCATACCTCTGTTGGAGTTACCTGCTTCCTGCTAGCACCATCACTAGGGGAGGAGTTGTGTCCATATTTATGTTTCTAGCATTTAAAAAGTTTATGCAGGTGAATTTGCACAGTTCTGTTTGTTATACCTGTGATTCTAAAATGCTTTACATAATTCCGTTTTAGATTTAAAGTCTGTCTCTAGACATATATGTGAAACTGACACATACATAGTACTGTACAGAACTCTAGTTAATTGCTCATCGAGTGGTGGCATATATGGTGGGATCTGACTTTACTGAATATTACTTCTTGCAAAGTTTCGTGTCTGGCGGCAAGAAACTGCCGGGACAAAATTGTCTGTACAGTATATGTATACTGTATTGTTATTTAAGTAGTATAACCATTTCAAGTTAATTTTTGTGAATGTGTGAAAGCAGAACTTGATGTAGCCTACTGGGAGGATTTGAGGATCTGTACCTGTATAGCCCAGCCAAAGAAGTCCTTTCTATATGTTTGAGTCTGAACTAAATGACTGTCTTCCTTCCTTTTCCCAAAGGGAAGCTAAAAAATGTCAGCTAGAATTAAGGTATGATCCTGAGGTCACTGCAAATGGCTGCCAACCAGTAACATGTGAGGTATGTTATTATGACTTGTAACCTTTAACATTAAGTGGTACTGTACTGTACTGTACTGTACCTGCTGTTTCTGAGATCTTCTGTTCCAATGGGAAGATTTAACTAATTTGTGAATTAATTCCAGTCACCAGTGTTTTATGGGTTTCCAGGGTTTTATCCCGGTGAAGTTGGTCATAGAATGGGAATTCAGGCTAATTCCCCTTTTTTTCTTTTCTTCCATAGGGCTTAGCAAAGCAGCTTCGTTCTTGTGGTATTGATGCTAAGGCCCTAGACAATGGTGAAAGTTGTGATCGCTGCATTGAATACTTTGAGAAAGAGAAGAGAGTGGTCCTAACTCGAGGTGGATCATACAGACGATTGCTGAAATACATCCCTGCTGAGTATGTGTACAATGTTCAAAGTGAGGTGAGTTAAAGTGGGAAACTCAATTTACACACACACACATATACACTGAGGCCTTTGTTTCGATTAATAGGGAAATCCTCTGGCTTGACCTTCGGTCATATTGGTTGCCCTCAAAATTCATCACCATTGTTGAGACAACTCCACGATAGCATGAGCAGCAGTGTTGTAGACAATGGCACCCATTTGAAGACCTTCTCCATCCAAACGGGTAAAACAAGAGTGAGCACTAGCACCAAATCTCTTTTCCATTTTCTCGGCTGCCTTCCTTACCCACACCAGTGCCATTCTAGCTAGCGGGGTGAACATCCAATACTGAATGAAGGGATTTTTCAACATAAGATGACTCTAGAACAAAGGTGTTTACCATTTATATTACTGAACTTCAGTATGCAAACAACCTTATCCTTGTCGCTCACACTAAATGTTACCTACAGGAGATCCTGGACACCTGCAAAAGCATACCGGTTATATGTGTACTGTACTTCGGCTTCGAGGTAAACATACAAAAGACACGGCTTCTGTTCCACCCCGCCTCTGGTTCAGCCATGCCTCCACTGCTCATCCGGGTTTACGACCTTTTTCAGTATTAACCATTTCCAGTACCTTGGCAACCACCTGTCCACTACCACAGACATTGCTGAAGAGATCAAACATCATCAGATTGGCTGTTCATCTCAAGCCTTTGACAAACTGCATACCTGTATCATCAGTTGTAGGTAGCTGCACATACTGTATATTGAGCATTGGTCCTTCCCACCCTGCTGAATGGCAAGAAAACATGGGTCACATGCAGAAGACACCTCAAGGCATTTGAGAACGTTCACCTACTTCGTCTACATTCCATCATCAGAGTTTCCTGGGAAGACAAGAGGACAAATACCAGTATCATTGCTGATACCAATTGGAATAAATGCATTATAGGGCATGGAGCTTCATTTTCTTTCTCATTCTAACATCTTGGTGACTTTTTATAACATGAGTCATCCACATACTTTGTGGTACTCGTAGTATGGAAGATTGACAAAGAACAAAGTGAGTTACTTACTAGCCCTAAATTCTCAGTTTAATGATGTAAAGTTCCTACTCACTCTAGGTGATATATGGGTTCTAAACACTTTAGATTAAGAATGGTTTAACCCTTAGGCCCCAGGTGACGTTCCAGAACATCCGCCCATTTTCTCGCCTTTTTTATTTATTTAATTTTTTAATTATTTTTGGAAATGTTGATTTTTTTCTCGATTCAACCCCGCGTGGGGGGTACTGCCAGCAGCACCCTAACCCGGGGCTTAAGGGTTAATAACATTAGTCACCCACTCTGTTTGCTGTCACATGATATGATTTCTGGATTAAATTCTTCATTTTGTTTAGATAACATTTCTAACCATTTCATTACATCTGTTGTTTCAGGTTGGCAGGGAACAACTAGCTGAAGTAATAAAAGCATTCAACATTAAGGTAACTGTGAGTAATGTGTTTGCACGATGTGTAAAATGTAACTCAGATGAATACATGTTTTTGCCCACGTCTGTTCTCGTATCCTTGCATGCCAATACCTCTGATGGCATACCAGAAAGGATAACAGTAGATGAGTGGGTCGAGTACCCAGGTGGAAAGATTAATCTCAGAACAGGCCTGACAAGTTCTGGTGTCAGTATCCAGGTGGGATGTATCCCTAATTCTGTCTTGCAAAGAATTAAAGTTTTCTGTGTATGTTCTCAGTGTGGGAAATGCTATTGGGAAGGAACACATCACAACAGAATTATTACAGATAAACTGAAGGATATTATTGAAGATGATAGATTGGCAGATAGTGGTGATACAGGTACCGGTAAATATCTTGTGAACAGTGATGTTGCACCTCTGGGATATCAAGTTGGAGTAGAAGTTCTGGAGGGAGCTGGTACACAAGTGGTGGATACAACCGGGGCAAGATGTGAATCCTCCAGTTTTACTTTTCATTTACCACGTAATGAATTGCCTTCAACTCCTGGAAACCCTGACTCCGATGCTGCTGAGTTTCATATTAATACACTATGAACAAGGTAAATGTTATGGAATGAAAAAAGTGAAAATTTAAGAAGTTATAATTGAGAAGCACAGAACCAAAGTAGGACAAGAGCTGGTATGCCCAAAAATAATATGTATGATGTCTTTCACTGGTAGCAATTAAATCTGCACTAAAAATTCTACAATCTGCTACTTGAATCAATTCTGTATCTTCACAAACTTGAAATGCATTTTTGTTTTCCATTTATGACACTTATCCTACTTTGGTTCTGTGCACTTCAATTTGTACTGTATTGTATATAGTACTGTACTGTATTTAGAAAATGTGATGACTATACTGTAGTTTGATTTGTTATGTCACCATGACGAAGGAACATTAAGCCATGCCAGACCTATTTGAAAATACTGTACTGTATATTCACTTAATATTAATTCACCTTAGCGATATATTTTTTTTATGCCCTGTCTCACTTAATGTTGGGTCAAAATTCAGTTTAGTGGTGGCTTGACTCACTGGGATGGGGGAAAAACTGAGGACTGTGCTCCAATTGTGCATCTCTACTGTTAGTTGTCTATGTTTACTTTACCTGTGCACCTGAGAGTATGTTGTGAATTCTTTTGGAAAGCTGACAGTGATAAAGCATCTTGGCAAGGCCAGTTCCACCCCACCACTACTGTCAGGGAAGAGATTACCTTTTGAATCGACTTGTCCTTTTATTTTGAAGTCGAATTACAAATTACAGCTCCTCCCCGACTTATGACCTACTCGACTTACGACCACCCGCACTTACAACCGCCTCAGTCGTACCAAAATTTTGTCAAATTACATATTTTCGAGTCCCAACGTCAGTGATTGTGTTGTGTACTGAAAATTTTTTCGTTTGTAATTCACTTTAAAATGGCTGGCAAGCTTAAAAGTGAGAGTTTTGTGGTGCTGAGAAGAAAAAGAGACACCCATTTTAAATTTTCTGTGTTATTTAAGCATTTTCGACTTAACGACCATTTCAACTTACGACCTGGATTTGGGGCCCTAACCCCGTCGTAAGTCGGGGAGGAGCTGTATATATGTATTGTATTTTTTCTATTTATTTAATAGTGTATGTTATATTATTTATAATGAAACAGAAAAGTGGCAACACCATTTATATGTTTTGTGGGTGGAATTGCAGTAATTCGTGTCTGTGATCGAAATGAATACAATCTGATGGCTAGTATCAGACTGTGCCTTTTGTTTAATTTGGTTACCCCGGTATATACTGTATGAGTACACCAATTCTGCCATTAATGTCCTTGTTAGGTTTCTGAACACCACAACTTGAAGTGAAAACAATTTTACCATAGACGCAATGATATAAATAGGGTTATGATCCTTGAGTACATTTCTCGTCAAAAATTTCTCATAACTTGCCACAAATGTTTCACTTTCAGCCCTATCCCCTTCTTCTTGTTTTAAAGTTTCAAATACACTGAAGATGTTTTGCCTGTATGGAGAGCAACAAACATGGAAAGTTTTGTTGATGTTGATCCTTGATCCACATGTTCAGCATTCTTTCCATATTTTCCATTATGTCACTTCTGTTACGAGTTAACTTTGTAGCAGGTAATGGAGTAACACTTTTAACACATGATTTGATATTTTCTGCATTTTCACAAATTGTTCTTACCTACAGTTGTAGGCTGTAAACCGACAGCTCTTGGAACGTCCACAGCTCAATGTCCTTCAAATCTTTTTACCACATGTAATTTAACTTCTAATATAACACTTTTCCCTCTTCTTTCTGTGACCACAACCAATAGTGGTGATAATGCATGTTTAGCACTTATTGTTCTAGGGCTCAAATAAATTTATAATTGGATTTTGAATGAATGTTGGAAAAGTATCCACCAACCACAGAACAATAACAAACAAATATGGCACCCACACTGGTCCCTTACACAGCCAGCTGTTATCACAATCAGGCGCTGAGTGGCTTTGTATCAAATTTTTAAAAATTGTCCTACATTTATATTTTTCATACATATTTTCTTTTCTTTTTTTCAACGACATAACGAAACAGCTTTGACTGAAATGACGTTAATGGGGGGAATCGGTGAAATCACAAAAGTGGGATGGTAATGAATGTATTATGCTCTCATAATTGATAAGAAATTGATGCAGGGCGTCAACACACAAATAGAAAGACTTGTTTAGTAAAGACCAAGTGGATTTCATATTCATTGAATGTTGATATGTATAGATTATCTCGTGACACAACATTCTCCCATTCATTTCTAGCTGGTTTAGAATCTAGCAGTCATATAATGATTAATGACAGAGTAACCACAAATCTCTCCCCCATCCTTTGATGGAGCTTTGAATTAACGGTTACTGATTGACTTAAACTATGAGCGACTGAGGAAGGATTTGAAGCATGGAAGCTGATGAAACCAAAGTCAGCTTTGTTTATTTGATAACCTAATACACTGGACTTAAGTTAGCTACTGATTCAAATGGGATTCAATGGATCTTGCATCAACTAGGTGAGAAAGGTTACTACTGTACTAACGAAACATTATCTAAAAGGTTGTTGCTTGGATATTGTACCTCCCATCAAAATTACAAAACTCTGATATGCAGAGAAGGTATGTCTACTAGTCAGGTTCTCCCGCAGATCATTATCCATTATAATTTTTTTGTACTTTATTTATTTGGGGAAGTTCTAGGATTTTAGTTGTAATATGGGGTGTGGACAGTTTAATCCTGCCCTGATCTGACTGTTACCAATATACACATAGAATTGTAACATGCTTTTTGAGAAATTGTCACCCCTGAATCTGATACTGTATAAACTGAATTATTCTTCACACAAAATGCAGATACTGTAGCTTGTATCAGATATATAGTGGGATGACCCATATTTGGTGCCTCTTTGGTTACATTTTAAGTTTGATTCACAATTTATTATTACTGTATTGCATTGGTATAATTGAGGTTACACGCACACACTCAGAGGTCCTCTTATATTACAGTTATATGCACGATGTACTAGATGTGAAGTTGTTGTGATTGATATGGCAAGACACAGTGATTTGCTCACATGGAAACTCACAATTCCTTTCCAATAGTTGAAGTGAATCATTAAAAGTTTTATCTCATGTGTTTATTTACATATACTGTACTGTACAGTAGTGTACAGTACGGTATAACATCAATGAAATTTAATTGGAGTGAATATTTCTTTGTCTTTAAACTGAAGAAATGAAGGAACTATGCAAAATATAAGTTGGTTCATTAGAATGCAGTTCTGCATAGTACTGTATACATGGGAGTAGAGTGTTGTTGTTGGATGATAGTTGATAATGTACAGTAGGTGCTCCTCAATACCTGGTGTTGCAAATTATTTGTTCAGTTCCATAATACCTACCGTAATGTTACAGATCAATTGTTGAGTTGTTCCATAATCCAGATGTTACAAATTAACTGTGCAATTGTTCCATGATACCTAACATTACAAATTAATTGTGGAGGTGTTCCATAATTCAGTATACAGTACAGTGAGTGATATATTGTACTTGTAGTCTCAAATTATTTTTCATGGAATTCTTTAGAATTTATGTATTTCTCTCCATAAACAATAGAGTTTTCATTACTTGTATTTTTTGTTTTAATAGAATATTCTTCCTTTCTTTGCCATACATGCAAGATTTGTATTTTTTTTACCAGTACAGCACATATACAGTACAGGTAAACCTCTATTTCCGATGGGTTTAGGTTCCTGAAAACCCCATCGTAGGTCAAAATATCGTAAATCAGGATCATTATAACATGGGGTTCAATGGGAGAGGTGTCTGGCCAGTCGGACACCCACATGTATCACCAAAAAAATAAAGCTACAATACTAGTACAATATCAGTACAAAACAATTAAACAACACATCGTGCCGAGTTGGCATGATGATAAATATCATTAATGCGAGTTTGTTTACATCGCAAATAGGGAAGTGGTCTTAATATACAGTACCAGCATTGTTATTGTGAATTATTGTATATTGGGATATCATATATAGAGGTTTACCTGTACAGTATTTTTAATTCATCATTTGTAAGCACACACTTAAGTTACATAAATGGGTTCATTGGTTGGACTTTGTTATTTACTTTTAGACAAACATTGTAGAGATTGAGTGTTTTCAGTTATGGGTAAAATAATAATCATAATTTTTATAATATTGGCCAATATTAATAGTTAAGGAATAAAATATTCCACCTTTTAAGTTTTAATGTTAGTTATTAATACAGTACAGTACTGTATTAATTTCAAAACTTGGTACTGTACCTGTATTAGTTTTGTGTACAGTAACTGTGTGTTTATTAAATCATAAAGAAGCACAATAGAGTACTGGATATCCTAAGCCTTTTTTTCACTAAAAAGTACGATGAAACAACCTTTACAAGGTTGTTTCATAGATGTTTCATCATGGCATTTCTTATGATGCTCTCTAGTACTTTGCTCACTATGCTGGTCTGGCGCACTGGTCTATCATTATTCGTGGAGTGACGATCACCCTTCTTGAATATAGGACTCACATTAGCCATTTTTAGTTAGTGGGAACCCTTTGTTCCTCCAGACATTTGCAGAACAGGATCTTAAGGGGCTCTGCAGCTCATTACATAGTTCTCTTAACATTCTGGGGTGTACCATATCAGGGCCGGGACTCTTGTGAATCTTTAGCTTTGCAAGATAGTTTTTTCTTATAACCTTATCCGAGAACACAATGTGGGTCAGCACTGTGTCAAATCGTCTTTTCTCAAGCGCAGGAAGATTGTTTACATCCTCTCTTGTGAACACCGATGAAAAAAATTTGTTCAACGCCTCCGCCTTGTCCTGGTCAGAATCTACATAACTACCATCTTCAAGCCTCAGGTCCAATATGCCTACTCGCATTTTCAATTTTGACTTTGCGTACCAGTAAAAAGCCTTTGGATTTGACTTGACCTCACTTCATAAATTCTTGCAGTGGTGATTCACTATAGACTTATGAAGTACACAATTCGATTTAAAATGGCTGACTTTCCTTCATAATTTACGGTGACTTTAGAGACCTCGTCACCTATTGTAAGGAGGAAATAAGGCCATTTTCTCCACTATACAACCCATACCAAAACACACACACACAGCTGCTAGAAGTACTTCACGCGTCATTACAGATAGAATTATGGTTGAGTTTGAGGACAATGGTTACCCTGTGACCAAAACAATCCTATATACAGTATATATATATATATATATATATATATATATATATATATATATATATATATATATATATATATATATGCTGATAACCACAAGGAAAGAAGAAAACACGAAGTTCCCAAGCGCTTTCGTGTAATTCACATCTTCAGGGGTGAGTACAGACTAGAGAGAGTAATACAAATCAAGGTGTGTATATATACAGAGGAGGGTGAGACCAGGTCCACAATGGTCAGGTATTAGGTAATGACCCTACTAATCTTTAAATATTACTAAACATTACTAAGAAAACTTTTTATAGAACTGATCCCAAGCCCACCCATGCCCATAAGAATATCTTAATATTACCATTTCACAAAAATTTCTCACACATTCCTGCACAGCTAAAAACCTGGAACGTCAATGTGGCATTTAAAAACTCATGCACTGTTAAACAAATGTTAATCAAGAACTCCCCCAACAACACAAGTGGTTGCATTTATAAAGTTCCTTGCAAGGAATGTAATATGTTTTACTTAGGCCAGACAGGTAAAGATCTTGCAACTAGAATTAAACAACACAAATACAGTGTTAGGACAGGCCAGGAATCCAATGCTCTGTTTGTTCATTTGAGGGATAACAAGCATTGCATTGACTGGGATAATGCCTCCTCAATATTACCATGTAATTCAATTGATAGTAGGAATCTAGTCTTATTAAACATACCGAAGCATTCAACATGAATTTGAGTAACGGCATGTACAAGCTGGACAATTTTGTAATTAAGAAGATTTGTGATCAGGTGAGAAGGCCGGGTCACTTGACCATCTGACCTGACCACCAACCGTTGTGTGCTATTTAAAGATTAGTAGGGTCATTACCTAATACCTGACCATTGTGGACCTGGTCTCACCCTCCTCTGTATATATACACACCTTGATTTGTATTACTCTCTCTAGTCTGTACTCACCCCTGAAGATGTGAATTACACGAAAGCGCTTGGGAACTTCGTGTTTTCTTCTTTCCTTGTGGTTATCAGCATATACCTAGATCACGCGCACCTACAGTGATTTACTTGCATATATATATATATATATATATATAGAGAGAGAGAGAGAGATTGCAGAACAGTGTCATCACATTTTTTCTTAAAAAAAAATATGTTTTCATAGGTTCTTTATTTGATACAATCAGTAGTTGTTTTTTTTTTTTGCCTCAAAATTGTTGAAATGTACCTTACCCTAACATATCCTTACATAACCTAACCTTAACATGTCTTACCTAACTTAACCTAAACTTAGCCTACCGTACCTAACCTAACCTTTCCATTTTTATAATGCAATCGCAGAGATAATCAAAGGTTAAAATGCTACATTTATATATCAACAGATTTATAGGTATATATTGGAGAAATTTTTTAGAGAACTTAATTGTTTGCCATGTGTGTTGTAACTTTCCTGGGTTAGGTAGGTAAAGTAAGGTTGGGTTAGGATAGGTTAGGTTAGGATAGGATAGGTAAGGTAAGATAAGATTAGATTGGGTAAGGTTAGGTTATGTTATGGTAAGATACATTTCATTAATTTTTGGAGCTTAAATACATCACTACTGAATGTATCATAAAAAAATCTATGAACATAATTCTTTTTCTAGGAAAAAATGCTATACCGCTGTTAATTTTTACCCCAATTTTTTATTAGGTTTGATGAACTTAGATTGAGTTAGGTATTATTTAACTATGAACATTTTGTCTGTAATTCCTAGGTAGATTACTGTTGGCACACAGAAATGAGTCATGGGTACTTCTTGGATACTTGCCCAAGGGCCTTATTTCAGATTTTTACTTTGAAGCTTGCAGTTTGCAGAGGAAGATGTATATAAGATACCTTTGAAACATTTCACATAAAAACTACGAGGAAATAAAGGGACAATGAACTGAAATGAAGTTTAACACTTTTATTGTTTTAATAAGTAGGTACACAGGAAAACATTGTAATAAAAATAAATAATATTTTTTCTTTCCTCCTACCATACTGAATCACAAGATAAAAAAGTTATGCATTTTACAGTAGCAGATAATAATTGATAAAGGAAATACTGTAACTACCCAAAGATTCTCATTACTGTACTGTACATGATTTATCAATTGCAAGCAAAAAGAAAATATAACAATCCTCAAAATAGACAATAATTGCTACATATTTGAATTGTATGCAATACAAATAGATAAAATAAACCTTGCCGAGGCCATCTACTCAAGTTCTTGTAAGGCATTTATTGCTACCTCCTGCACAGAATCTAATCTAACCTAGCCTAAACTAAATTAACAGTAAATTTATATGGTAACCCTCCCCGATTCAGTTGTACCAATGCGTCGATTTCATCATGCTTGCAACTGGCTTACCTAACCTTCCACCTCCGAGGCTACAGTTGGAAAATAAATTGCTCTTCTTATAAAACAAACACCACTAATTTAACCAGCCATTGCTTTCCAAGTTCCAAGTATAGAAGCTCCAAAAGTTGTTGGTAGCGAAAGTCAGAGCGGGGAAGATGACAGGGGAAGGAGCAGGAGGTTAGGAAGGGAATTGTAGTGGGAGAGATAGTGCCGTGGCTTTACACGACTGCGTTTATTTGGTTAGCGCATAGCGCACGTATTTGGTTTTGTCTGTGTTGGGTGTGTGATCCTCGGGTCACCACTCCTCCGGATTGTGTTAGTTCCAAGTTTAGAAGCTCCAACAACTTTCCCTGAATACGAATTCGCAACCTTTCGATTTACAACAGGTACCTACTTTACTGCTAGGTGAACAGGGACCAAGGGGGCTAGAAAGAGTGTCCAAACAACTTCCAATTGCCCGGGAATCGAACCCGTGACATCTTGCTTGCGAGGCAAGAGCGGTACCGCTTCTACCACAAGCGCCCCCTAGCCATTGCTTCTTCTGTTGCAGTCAGGGGTGGTACACGGCTTGATCCTCCTGAATAGTAAAAACATTTTAATACATTACTTTGTAAAGCATACCAATAGTAAACAATTGCTAATCAGAGTATATGCATTATCACAAGTGCTTTTACCTATAAATACATGATTAAAATTACAAAGTAGATCAAGATTGTCATGACAGTCATTGTAAACTAGGAAGATTGAAAGCCAAGGTTAGGTAAGGCTGCCAAGGTTCTAACCACAGATATGAGAGTAACCTTTATGTTATATCTAATCAGGAATAGGAAACTTTATCTAACAACCTAGGCTCCTGCTCTCATCTAAGGCGTTTATGGTAAAATTCAGTAGGTTAGGTTTGGTGACCATAAGATTAACTGAAAAATTTCGCTTTCAGTAATGACATTAGAAAATGCTAAGAAACAAGTATTTCAACCCATCTAGCAGTGTGTACAATACACCATATACAGCATATAGAAATACGATATAATATAAGGGATATTTGATCAATGCTTTAGCAGTGTATAGCAGTACATGATATTTTGTTACTTCCAATTACCAACAATATTGGTTGCTCAAACTGGGCAGGGCTTGAAGAGGGAAAATATGGGATAAAATACTATAAAGAACACCAATGTAACCTTTAAAAATATTACCTAACTTCTAAAATTCTAAAACCTTATTCTTAAGTATTTCGGTATTTACTATGTTGATATAGTTTTCATTGTTTAGATATGGATGGATGTGGAGGTTATCATAAGTGGATGGATGTGGAGGTTATCATAAGTGGATGGATGTGGAGGTTATCATAAGTGGATGGATGTGGAGGTTATCATAAGTATTCACGAGTTCAACAAGTGCACCCTGCTGGATCTAATTTTGTTATGACATGATTGGCTTACGTGCCCTACCGTGTTATGTATCAGTCACAGTGAATGGCCAAGAGGAGACACACTACCGCCACCTATCGCCATTTTAAGAACTTCTTTATAGAATTAGTACAATCACAACAGCTCCCATCAGTGTTTGTGAACCTGGGTACAGTTATAACTCTCGTGGTGTGACCAAACAATATGTGTACAGGATGTTCAGTGAATCTTTTCCAATTATTTGAGATTGTCTCTGATGAAAAGAAAGTTAGAGACTATTTGTTTGACCACCATCTTCTGACAAAGACTGTTAACTGTACAAGCTGTGGTTCTGTAATTGAACTGAATAGTAAATATCAATTTCGATGCAACAAAGTAGTGCGGCTAAAACACGGAAAGGCCTATAGGAAGAGGGTGTGCAAATTCAGAGTTACTGGACTTAAAGACACATTTTTTGAAAGATCTAAAATATCACTGAAAGACATTCTTTATTTGATGTACTTATTTATAGATAACAGAACAACTATTAAAACGGCAAGTTTCGAAACTAAACTCAGTCCAGCAACCATCATAGATTGGTATAGTTTCATGCGAGATATTATTATCAATTACTGTGAAACAAAATCAAGCAAACTCGGAGGTCCAGGAACAGTTGTAGAAGTAGATGAAGCTGAATTTGGCCAAAGAAAGTGCGACAAGGCAGAGGTTAGAGGAAACTGGGTGTTGGGGGGAATTGAACGTGGAGGCAAGAAGATTTTTTTGGTAACTGTTGGTGACAGAAGTGAAGAAACATTGATTGAAGTTATTAAAGACTGGATTTTAGAAGGAACAACAATAGTATCAGATAGGCAGAGTTCCTTCAGGAACATTTCTTTAGAAGGCTACTTTCATCAGACTGGTGACAACCCCCAAAACTCAAAAGACTCAGAGTCTTCCACCAACACCAATAACATCAAACGTCTGTGGCGAGACGTCCGCAACGAGATTCCAAAATTTGGAGTAAGGGAAGAGCATTTTGAGAGTTATCTTGCCAAAGTTTTCTTCCGCAAAATATTTCCCGATCAAGGTGAACGATTCCATCACTTTATGCTAGCAACAGCTGCTCTCTACCCACCATACAAATAAGGTAAGACAAGATAGTAAAATTATCGTTTCAGTCACTCATGGATTTTTAGGATATTAAGTTTTGGAATAAGTATTTTAGACAATTCTAAGACACTTATTCTATGGCATTTCGGTAAGTTTTTACTTTCGGAGTCCCTAGAGCAGCGATTTTCAACCAATGTGCCGCGGCACGCGAAGCATCCGTAGGTGTGCCACAGGAGTTTAAATAGCATTTTAAAAAATAGCATTTGGATACGTTTTGACATTACTGGTACTTTTATTGAGCGCATTAAACTCCTTTTTTTCAATGATGCAATAAATAAACAAATGTGCTGTTCATTAAAAGCCCAAATGGCAGTTTTAAATTCTCTCCTTAATTATTTTAAATGATCTAATCTATCCTTAAATACTGATGGTGTGCCTCGACCATTTTAGTGCCTGGCTCACTGTGCCGTGAGATGAAAAGGGTTGAAAATCACTGCTGCCTAGAGGTTGACCAATATGTTTTTCCAGTGTATTTTGTTGTGTTTTAAACGAATTTGACCTTCATTTTTTGGCGGAAATTGCTATTTTTTGCCCCCGTCCTCCTCAACGATAATGGGGGAGAGCTTGGGAAATCGGGGTTTTGGGTGGGGGAGAACACGAAAATGAGTCACCTAACCTAACCCCTAGCCAAGGGGGCTCCCGGTAGACCTAGCTTAAATTAACCTAAATGTTTCAGTGGTTTAAAACTTTGGGGCGTGCCATGTCCGAAAGTACATTACCTTAGAAGTGGATAGAATGATCGTCTTTCTCGTAAAACTCAGCAATAAACTTAAAATAATCGTAGGAGCACCAATGACAACCAACCTCCACCACGGCCATTCTCAGGCTGTTCAATGAAATTCAAATCCGTACCCAGGGAGCCACTAATTACCCAAAAGTACCCAAAAGTTTCCAAAAGTATAGCAAATAAGGGTAAAATCTTAACGAATATCTGTTATACATACGCAAAACATGTTTAATAATATTTTTAGTGTAATTTTGTAAAAATAATTTGTAATTTGAAATAATAAACGGGGAAAACTTTCAGTATTGGCAAACGCTAAATTCCAAAGAGTTTGTGAACAAGGGAGATAACTCAGATCCATCGTGATGCACTTCGCTAACCTAACCTAACCTATCCTAAGGCTATGTTAAATACCCCAAAGTAACAGACACCTCGGTAATTATATCTCCATTTTGGATAGGTGACTCTTTGGAATTTAGCATTTATCGCTGTTTATTATTTCATTATTTTGACTACATTTCAATGAAAACATTATTAGGTTTTATTGATGTAAAACATATATTCGTTAAGATTTTACCCTGATTTAATATACTTTTGGGTACTTTTGGGTAATTCGTTGGACCGCCGTACCCAGGCTGCTTCCTTTGAAAAAATTCAAATGTGATTGGTCTAAAAAAGTTTGCGTGATATCGATTCATTATTGGTCACAACTGGATGTCGTCAGTCAATATTGGGCATGTGTGATGCTCTGATAGCATCTTCTCACAGAGACGAAGACGGAAAAGTACGTAAAATCAATTAAGTTCAATTGTGTCCATTTCCGTCTGGCATATACTGTACAGTAGACCCTTCCCATTCGCGGGTTTGCGATTCACGATTTTGACAATTCGCAATAAGCAGATGGTGGCTAGCTTGCAAGCTTTTTCCCACAGTGCAACGAGTCACCCCACACAGCATCTCGTGTTGTATTCTCAAAACTAAAGTTTCTGTGTGAAATGGCTCCGAAAACACTGCCTAGTGTCAGTGCTAGTGATGCTAGTGGAGTGAAATGTAAAAGGCAAAAGTCAGTGATGACCCTGACAAAGAAAGTTGAATTATTAGACAAGTTAAAGGAGGGGATGAGTGGTGCCGTGGCTGGCCGGTTGTTTGGTACTGTATAGTTATACAGTAGTGCACTAAGGTATTATAAGTTACTATTTGCGGTTTTGCCTATTCGTGCCATTCCTTGGCACGAAGGAGATTCAGTCCATGACTACAGTACTTAGACCCACATCCATACCTCGGATACGAGTTTAAAAAGGATATTCGTGGAAGATGCATACAGTTTGTAGTGGAGCTGGTGAAACAGCTTTGTCTTAGTTATGTATGTACAGTACCTGTTTGATAAGAAAAGTCTGTAAAGAACAGGTAAAAATTCATCAGCATTAGTAATAGCAGTTAATGTGTCATTGACTAATTAACATCATTATTTAGAGAATGGAGCGAGAGTATGGATGTGAAGTGGCAATGGGAAAACCAAAGGTGGCCTTCAGAGAGACACTTGCTGGTCCAGTAGAGTTTGATTTTCTCCATAAGAAGCAATCTGGTGGATCTGGTCAATATGGTCGTGTAACTGGAATTGTTGAGGTAAGTTTAAATTAAGAAGTGAATAAATGTTTTAAATAACAATATTCTAGTGTAATCACAAAAAGACTAATATTTATGCTTTATTGTACAGTACAAGGAACATACTGAATTCAAAATTTAATTAATGTTTAGGATTTAGTTTGGATGTTACTATGTGATTGTCATATACAGTACTGTACTACAATAATTAAGAGAGATATAAGACTCCCAAATTGAAGCCCAAATTCTGTTACAGCCACTCTCACATGAAGAAAACACAAAAAATATCTTCAAAGATGAAACAATGGGAACCAACATTCCAAAACAGTTCATTCCTGCTGCTGAAAAGGGATTCAAAGCAATCTGTGATAAAGGTATGGGTATAATTTGTAAACATGAAATGTCTTAGTGTTAAGAGGTAAAGTCAGGAGTGTGTAGAAGATGGTGTGGCTCTGCTCTTCAATGATGAAATGATTGACAATATGATGAAACATTTGGGTGATCAGCTCCAAGTGATGATTCAGGTTAAAGATGTCTGGGAAATGGATTAATTTAATGCTTATACACAAGGGAATGAGAATATAAGTTGTTTAGGAACCTGAACAACTCCATAAAAAGTGTGTCTTTGTGAGTATTAGAGGATCAACCAAACCTGTGCCCATCCCTTGTTCTCTACTGTATTTTCTGGCCTGGTGTGCTGCACCTGCACAGAGGTTGCCTGGTGAGCATTTCATACGTTGGTGTTTTTGCTTGATAGTACAGGAGCCCAAACTCAGGAATAGCACCTTGAGAGGCTGCTCCATCTTCACTTGCATAATACAGTATAGTGTCCAGCTTTAGTGTCATGTCGCACGTGGATGGATGTCCCTGAAGCTGGTCATCATGGGTCACCCCGAGGCCACTGGACTGTTTTTGCTATGGCTTCTGAATATCAAGTGTGCCAACGCCCAGGTTAGCAGGTGTGAGTGTGAGGAGGGGGTGAGACATCCCATTCTGGTTGTTACCCAGCTCATAATACCAGTCATGAGAAACATTACAGTGAATAAACATAAACCTGCAACACTAAAACCCAACACAACACACGAATGAATACCAAATGAAACTGTGCAAGATTAACCCACTGGCACATGCAATAAAGTTATTAGGTTTCTGTGACCACAACGAAAGTCATAATGGAACTTATCATCACCACTCACGTCCTGTCTGGGCATCTTCGTTCTGTGGTAAATTTATACATCACTGGCTCCATTATTGTTTTGGCTTTAACATAAGTCATAAAATAAATATGTAGAGAAGATGAAAAAATATATATACACACGTTACAGTACGTATAATTTTTCACTCTTAATAAAGATTTATTTATTTTTCCAATATCATATCTCGGATATTTTTCACACACCTATCGGTATGAAGTACTTTATATCATAGTTATAGAAGCAGAATTTCATGAGCTTTCCAAAGGTGGCTTTCAAATTTTTATATGGTTAATAATTTGGGAGAACATTGCAAAAAACGAAAGGCATACCAAAAAATCACCAAAATCTTTTTATAATTTATTTTATTTTATTTTTTATACCTATGAGATTTATTGTATTAAATTTAAGTGCATAGTATAGCTTGTAATGTTGGGAAGAGAAAGTTGGTCTTAAATATCCTGTAGCACTTACGGTTATCATATACTGTACAGTAATAAATTTTGGAAGTTGGTGGACTTGCATATTTCCAAGAGTCAAGCTCCTAGCCACTCTCTCTCAACGTTTTTTCTTTGTTATGTGTATACCTGTAGTCATGTTGTATGTATTCCACATACTGTATACCTTCTTTTCTGTGTAGCTTTTTAGCAACATGTCACACACAAGCAGTCTGTGCTGCAGATTAAGTGTTGTCTGGGATGTCTGAATTCTATATACAGAGATTGTTATGCATTACTGTGAAACTAAGACCCTCATATTTATATAAAACAAATCAAGGGAAGCTGTTTTCAGTATAAGTTAAATGCATCTACTTAATAAATAAACAAAAACCCACTTTATTTTGTTATTCTTAAACTTAGAACAGATTCTTCATGGATTATTAGGTAGTCTAACAGGAAGGATTTTAACCTTAGTCATGCTCAATCTAATCGATGAATATTATCTTTACAGGTTCTCCTGAATGACATATTTGGGTATGCCACAGAACTGCAATCCTCAACACAGGAAAAAGGCAAATTTGCAATGGAATATTCTTATGGGCCAGCAAAAGAAGAAGTATTGTAATGGAAGATCTTATCAGTGAATTTATATGTCCCAAAGAAAATGCAAAGCCTTCAAAAAAAAGAGGCAGAAGATAAAATATGATAAATATTTAAATGTCTTTGCTAATTTTTAAGTATGAAAGAGGTATCATCAACATTGATATTTTAAGGCCATTTTTCACACTTGCATGGGTTAGCAATGATTACTTAATGGGAGCTCTTCGTGCTGTATTTTCTCATGTAGCCTCTCTCCTCAGGATTTCAAATTTAATATAATTTCTTACAGCATCTTCCCATGTCATTATTGGGCTGCCTCTGTCCTTATTCCCCTCCACATTTAGACTCACACATCATTTGGCCCAATTTGTACCTCCATTCTCTCCACAAACCCAAACCATCTCAGCTTACCTCTAAGCAAATCTTCACCAATACTTTCAATACCCAACCATCTTCTTAGCTCTGACTAGAGTTGCCTAAAGGCTGAGCAGATTATGTGGAACCTTTGAAATTTACTTGCTGGTATTTTGTTTTTTTCCTTTGTCCTGACAAATTTGAGAAGAAATTTGTTTGTCCAGTTTTTTAAGGACAAAGCCAAATAAACACCTTGAACCCTTCAAATTTAGGCCCGCTTCATGCAAGCATTTTTGTCCCGCATGGGAGAAGGCATTTGTTCATATGGGCATATTTTTCATGTTTAATTTCACCTGCATGTGACAAAAATAATCACAGGCACTTTCAGCTTATCCTTGCCTTTATTTTTACAGGACTGCAACAATCTCGGTACAGAGTGCCTGTTTTGCCATATTCTTGGACTTTAATTTTTACAGGTTGATATCTCTCCACTCTTTCACAACATTTTCAATTGGGTTAATTTTCCAGTGAAGGTTTGATTTTTTCTTTAACAATAATTTTCTTGTTCATTTTATTACAGTATTTATACAATTATAACTAAATAAATATGTAAACTGCATTCAAATTTTATTCCCTGCACATGGTGTGAGAGGGTACGGTACAAACAAATGGCAAGGTTAGCACATTATCTTTTATATTCATAATGTACATTTACAGCTACAGTAAATCACAAAATGCTTATGAAGAAATGTTCAGGACTATGTTAAACAAATCTTGAGTTCTGAGACTTGATCCTGGGCTCTAGGGAGACATTTTTGCAGTACTGTTCAGTAGTACAAGTCCCCAATATGAGGCGCTGAGAGAAGGAAGGTCAAACTCGTCACTTTCACCCCAGGTAGTATAAGGGACAAAGTTGAGGTGCAATGTCAGGTCTAGCTTACTTTGTAGAAAGGGCAAGTGCTGCAGCTGTCATACACTTACCGCCTTCAGCCATTGAGCATCCTGCTAGCATGTGCAGTCTAGCACTTCACCCACATGTTGTTGATGAGCCGGTTTTGACTCCATTATTTCTCCTATTTTATTATTGTTACCGCAAGGAGTAGGATAACCCTCAAACAAATATCATGTTAGGTTGAAAGTCATGTCATGTTTTATTGGTAGTGCCTACCCGTATATAGAGTATTGAGTTAATGGAGATAGCGCGAAAAGGAGAAGGAATGGTGTTGTGAGGTAGTGGAGAGGATTTGTTTGGGTATCAAACACCTGACAAAACAAAATACGTCAGCCCAGGCAGGACCTGAGACGAGTGGCAATTACACTCCAGCTCTTCCCATCATAGGGTGAACACCCAACCCATTCGGCTTGAGACCTTTAACACGTAAGTTCAACCTATACTTAAGTTTATACAGGTAGACTGTGTCCATTGTATCGTTTATCATTGTGACAGTATGGAAATATGGCAAATTAAGTACTCATTACAGACGTAATTCGACTAATTACACAGCAAAGTTAACTATGATTGTTATAAAGTTGCTTTCATTGGTACCAGATATCAAAATAAGTAATTTCTGTTTAATATGGAATTTTTTATTTTATTTTATTTTTTTTATATCCTTTTTGCCACTTTAGCTTACTAGCCATTTGGGCGCTCTATCCAGTGTTAGTACATGAGGAAACCAGGGACCAATAAACCTAAGATGCTTGTTAGAGTCTCACTGGATAGCACGTTTCTCTCGTTTGTCCAGACTGAGGCTCGAACCCTTGATATATTGGTGAGAGTTACGCATTGCCGCTGTAACACCAACATGCTCCTGGCTAAGAAGCTATGGAAGGTCAGGTAGGTTTCTTTGGTTGGTTAGATCAGGTTCAAATAGGTTCTAGTTGCCTATTTTAAAATACTGTACTTACTGTAAGAACATGTGAAAAAAAATGAATGAAATCGAGTATCTCCTTCTGGTAGTAACGATGTTCTCGTACATTACCAAGAAAAATAACAAAGGAACCTAAAGAACCAAAACTGAAATTGAAGTTGGCAAAACTCATAAAGATAACTATTCAGACTGTGAACATCCACTGTTTTTCAATGAAAATGGGTTTGAAAACACCCAGTTTTCACTGATATTACTAGGGGATACTGTATTATGTTGTGGAAAATTATGAAATTGGCGAAAATCGTGTGCTAACCTAATCTATATCTAACTTGCCTAGATCTAGAAAACTAAGCATTTACACAAAATTAATAGAACTGAAATTAACCAGAGTACAAAACTGTATCTATAAAACACACATAATTACCAAACTGCTGATGGTCATGTCTTGTATATTTTTTTTTTTTTTTTTTTAAGGGATTAGGCCACCAGGGCACAGGTCAATGACCCACATTAGGACCTGGGGGGCAAAATAATAATAATAATTAATAAAAAAAATCTGAACAATTATAAATAATAGTAAAGAACCATAAATAATTATGTAAATTATAAAAAAAGATTAATAGTGAGAAACGATATACAGTATGCATGTTGTGTTGTCAAAGTAAGAGAAACAATTGAGACCCTGCAATAGTGTAAATGAGGCAGAAAGTCAGATTAAGCAACCTGGGACTTGGTCACAATTTTTTTGATTCCATATGGCAGCAGGGTCTACCATAAGACAATACATTATGCTAAAAATATCTTCCCCAGGCGGTTACCTCCCCGTTTGATAGCTGCCTACCTATAAAACTAAGCATTTGTAATAAGTTTCCCTGCACAACAGAAATTTGGTTAGGTATTTTTACAGTCACGGTCAAATATAGTTCTCGGGTTGTTCGCCGGTAATGGACGAGTAGCCAATCAGAGCGCAGTCACGGTAAAATAGCGTTAGTAGGAACTTTACGGTCACGGCAAAATATCCACTCCATATAATCAAATCAATACAGTATAGAGTACCGTGGCTGACCTTTTCCGAATATTAACCGCAAAACGTCAGCGTTGCTAAATATATTCCTACTTGATAGGACACACTTATAATGCAATATTTGTTGCCAGTGCAGGAGAAGGTTTGTTTACTATCCCTCACCATAACACGTGCTGCTGGCTAGGAAAATATGTACCATGTAAATAACCTCTCGTCAGGGATAATGTGATGTTAAATAAATTGGCGCAAATTGGTTATTAAGATTATTTTGAAATAATATAACTAAATATGGAACGATATAAGAATTACTGAAATGTCAAATTATGCAATGAGTAGGTCGTGACGTCGTCTGCTGCATCAGTTACTCAATGTGAGGGAGCAGAGAGGGAGTGTTGAGCAGTGCCGGTACAGCCAGCATGATTATTACTACAGCAACTACCACCCTTAATAAATTTCAAAGAGCATGGTCTATATTCCACAAGGTTAGTGTCATAAAATTAAACATGCACACCTTTGCCACCAAATTCGCCAAGACTGAATTAAATATTGCAATGAAAGCTTCACTCTTACCTCGAGGAAACCGCAAATTAAGTGGCTGAATTACAATATACGTAATTTTGTTTTTCTTCAAATGAATAATGTGTATACTATTGTATCCAGCCGCCGTCGTGTGTGCAGTTTAGGTGTTTCCATCACACGCCGTCCATCAGACCCTCGCACGGCGGCGGCGGCGCGTCTTAGGAAGTATGTCCTGCTCAGGGTGTTCTGTCAATCTTTCGCGATTAATCGAGTGTATGTCTGACAACAAAGGTTTTGGCGACTTTTTGATTGCTCACAACCTACTGCCCGAGTCCGTTAAATGCCTGAATTGTGGAGTAGTTGTTGTGGTGAACGGCAGACATCGATTTCAGTGTAATAAGGTTGTCAAGAGGACTTCTGGGAAAGGATATAAAAAAACACGATGCAGGTTAAACGTCAGTGCCCATAAAGGCACATTCTTTGAAAATTCTAGACTTTCATCCAAGGAAGTTGTTTATTTGATGTACTGGTTTATAAACCATAAGGCAACCTATAAAACTGTGGTGTTCGAGACGAAACTAACAGGAACAACCATCGCAGATTGGTATAGTCACATGAGAGAGATTGTTATGCATTACTGTGAAACTAAGACAAGCAAACTCGGAGGTCCAGGAACAGTTGTAGAAGTAGATGAAGCTGAATTTGGCCAAAGAAAGTGCGACAAGGCAGAGGTTAGAGGAAACTGGGTGTTGGGGGGAATTGAACGTGGAGGCAAGAAGATTTTTTTGGTAACTGTTGGTGACAGAAGTGAAGAAACATTGATTGAAGTTATTAAAGACTGGATTTTAGAAGGAACAACAATAGTATCAGATAGGCAGAGTTCCTTCAAGAACATTTCTTTAGAAGGCTACTTTCATCAGACTGGTGACAACCCCCAAAACTCAGAAGACTCAGAGTCTTCCACCAACACCAATAACATCAAACGTCTGTGGCGAGACGTCCGCAACGAGATTCCAAAATTTGGAAGAAAGGAAGAACATTTTGACGGTCACCTTGCCACTGCATTCTTCCGTAAAATATTCCCCGATCAAGGTGAACGATTCCACCAGTTTCTGCTAGCAACAGCTGCTCTCTACCCACCATTTTATTAAGGTAAGAAAACAAAGATACTGGTAGTGCTTTTTGACACCAACTCGTGAAAAGGAGCTGTTTTAGGACAATTTTTAGTCAAAATTGGGAAAAGGACAACCACAGAACTCTATATTGAGGTTTTTTTAAGGTAATGGTGGAGCAACCGGTTAGCACCTGAAGGACTTTGTGGAATTGCACCAAAATTTCTGGAGATATTATTTGTATGATACTAAACACGAAAATGAAATGACAATGCACAGAACCTGACCTAACCTTACCTATCTTATGATTTAAATGCTAACAACCGTGCTGCGAATAGGGCAAAAGTCAATAGAGGATTTATGTGTGATGAAAAGGTAATTGCAATAAAGATTTGTTGGTAAAATTGTTGTCTTGGTCATGCACCTGTTTGGAAGTCATTCAAAACACATTAAAAAAGAACACTGGAACACCATAATTTCAGCCTAACCTAAGCTAAAATTCGCTGCATGACCGAAACAATAATAATACCGATTTGTTTATACTGTATTCACATGTTGGACTTGGTGTGACCCCGAGTCAACACTGTTCTTGAAGAGTATTTTTGAAAGCCCAATAATTATAATCACCTATACTGTATTGTATTCCTGATTCAAATATACCTGTACAATGTTTTGCTTGTAACAAGAATATTCCATTTATGTAGTACTCATAGGTGATCTCTTATATTTGCAGTTGCCTGCCTGTTTCTCAACATCTACAGGCGTTGTATCTTTGGAGAGGATCAGGAATATTGGGATATCTGCTCATATTGATTCTGGCAAGACGACCTTAACTGAAAGGATTTTATACTATACTGGTCGAATAGATGAGATGCATGAGGTCAGTATTATATGTCAGAGTTTGATGTGGATGATGACATACTAAGAGGGTACAAAGATTAAATTTTTGGGGGGTGCTGGATAACTCATACCCAAGCAAATTGTACCAATCAGAACATGTCAACTCTTGACCAATTTACGAGACAGTTCGTATACACACACACATACACACATTATATATATATATATATATATATATATATATATATATATATATATATATATATATATATATATATATATATATATATATATATATATATCCCCAATGGAAATGTGGACACGGTTGATTTTAATATATGAATAGCAATGTGTTTTTTAAATAAGTGTTTATTTGACCTTAACTTTAACAAATTAAGAGTAAATACGTCTGCTTTCTCTCTCTAAATGGGAAGAGTGTGAATATTGGGTGACACATAATCAAGTAGTTGCATTACTCATACTGGTCTTGTTTCCGTTTGGTCGTGACTTTTTAAGCAAATCTATGCAGAGTATCATTAACACACAATAACATAACTAATTGTGTACCGTATGCATTAGCCAATATTCTTAATCTTCGTTCTTTTATATCCTTATTACTTCTGTATTTCATTCTTGACGTTGACATGTCAGAAGAAATTCCTGATGATGTTACGATGTCAGCCACTCTGTAGAACAAGTTCGTTATACCAGAAGAAGTACCAGAGAGGAGCCCCAAATTATATACTGTATACTAACTGATTTGTTTAAAAATAATGGAGCTTGAAAATCAATCTTTTTTTTTTATGCATGTTTATATTTTGTCGACTTATGACCCTTTTAAGCAATTGAAAGCAACGGGTTTGCAGGCTGGGGGGTCTGGGATCCTGTTTTTATGCATAACGGGTATAAAGTAAGAAAAGGTGGGTTTAAAGAGTAAAGGCACATTTTGTCAGCTCCTGGGGGTATTATTGTTATTTTTGTTATGGGAATAATGAAACAATTAACCAATATAAGAGGATTGAGTTTTATGTGTATGCTCCTCAGGTACGTGGGAAAGATGGTGTTGGGGCGGTAATGGACAGCATGGAGCTGGAGAGACAGCGAGGTATCACAATTCAGAGTGCTGCTACCTATACTATGTGGAAGGACCATAACATTAATATCATCGATACTCCAGGTATTTGACCAAAATAGAACTCTCATCTAGAATATTGACTAATGTACTGTACATTCAGGACTTGCACTTATGTTGCAGATACCATTTTTAATTCTTACAAAGTGCATTCTCAGGCTTCTTATTTTATATAAAATTAAAAGAGATTTAGAAGTCTGTACATTATAGATATTACAAAGAAGAATTTTTAATATAAGATAAGAGCAAAATATAATACATGGGTAGAGAATGTAGCCACACTGCCAATGAGGCTGTATTACATACTCGGTATGTAAGAAAACAGAAAACTACCACGAGAGAAAAGAATTCATGTAGCCACTGTACATGATTAAATAATGAAATTAATATTTTTCTTTTCAGGACATGTGGATTTTACAGTGGAAGTAGAGCGAGCCTTGCGGGTGTTAGATGGGGCAGTATTGGTGTTGTGTGCAGTGGGTGGTGTTCAGTCTCAAACATTAACTGTTAACAGACAGATGAAGAGATATAATGTACCATGTTTGGCATTCATCAATAAACTAGACAGAATGGGAGCCAATCCTTCTCGTGTGTTGCATCAAATGAGGTAAGCATGTGAATAATGTTCAGAGATGTGTTCACGTTTGATTTTAAAGCAAATATGTCCGTTGGCATTTTTGTGTTGTTTACATATTAATGTCACTATATTAAATACTTAAATACAAAATGAAAAAATATAAGGAATGTTTACCTAAAGTTCTATACCTTTTTTTTGTGGGGAAAACAAAACAGATCATTGAACATGTCTTGTGGATCTTTGCTATTTAATAATTCTTCTTTTATAGAGTCTCCGTTAATATAAAGTTTCCTCACAAACCCAATTCTTTGTACTCCAAAGGTGCAACTCTGTTTTCTATACGAGAAGAATCCCACGGACCTTAACTTCCAAATGGTTCTCCTACAATATAGGAAGCTCGTCACTAATTTTGCTCTCTTTTTGGAGGTGGTGATGAACCATATGCTCAGGGGAGAAAATGCAGATTCTGGTAGCACAGTAGTAGTGAAACCGCCAACACCCACAGCCACTGAGTATCTTGCTGGGCTGTCTCATGACTGGCTTAGCCAGTAAGTGTCCAGCCCAGGCCAATATTTCCACCCTTCTATGGATGATTTAATTTATCCCTGTTGTGTGCAGTATGGTACCATGACATTGCCAGTGTAGTATACTGTATCCAAAAATCAGTGTAAAATAAAAATTATAACTGATAAAATCACAGTACTCTACCAAGACATTAGTGCACTGTCTTGGTAGAAGTGAAACATTAAAGACATAGAGTATTTCATGCTACTGTAGCGTGTGGTCTACAAGATATTTAAGTTAGGTTAGATTAGGATAGGTCAGGTTAGGTTAGACTAAAGATAACTTTGTAGACTGCATGCTATAGTAGCACCCAGTATTTAATGTTCTTACAGTAAGGCGATGAGGATTACGCTACAGATGTACAGTAGGTGCTGACCAGTGAGGCTTAGAATATAGTATACAATTCTAAAGATACCACTTTTTCTCACTACCCCTTTCAGTCAGAAGGATTAGCCTGGTATGTCCTCTCACACCAAGCATCACATTAGAAGGATGTACTATGTTCAGTATGACTTTTAATCTCCATGACAGTAGGAAAAGCTGGGAGGATGAAATTGCTCTGATATGGCAATAGTCTTGTTCTAAGACACTCTGATAGACCACTATGCCTAGTCAGATTTTTTTTTCCTCTTGTGTAAGAATGAGTATTGAGCTAACTATTTATCTGTTTTCTTACCTCTTTCTATGAGTGGCCAGTCTGGTCTGTTTACTTGTTAGATTTGAGACTGACCACCACATGATGGGGAGTGGGCTTCCAGCTGGGTGATGGGAATGTTCATTCACACACCCCCCTCCCTCACCTACCCCCATACATATCACCTCCCTCACACACACATGCCAACACACACACACACCCACACCAATACACACACACGCACACCAATATATTTTCAGCCACCGGCTGCAACTCTATTAATAAACCGTTTATTATTATTATTATCACACACACACTCTACATCCTTGACCACCGAAGGGTCAAGACGTACCTGGCGCTCCTCTCGGAGCAACCAGGTCAACTGTTAAGTTGGCCCATACCAACCCCCTCCCCTGAACCCTCCTCCCCACCGGAATATCAACAAGTTCTCGCCAGAAGTTACAATTTCATTTAGGAAAGGAACGGAACCAGTGTTAAACAGAGGTGAACAGTGGTGAACAGTGCTTAGGTCAGTGAGAACAACTCAACAGTAACAGTCGTACCCAAGTTAACCTTCACACAGTGAGGTCCCAGGTACCCAGTGATAACGGCCCGTGAGAGCCAACAACAACCAGCGATGTGTTAATCCGTCTACGATAGGAAGGCCTAAGACCAAACCTCACTCATATAACACCATCTGTGAGGGAATTACTACACCACATGTCCCTCATAACACCATATGTGAGGGAATTACTACACCACGTCAAGTCCCTCATCACACCATCTGTGAGGGAATTACTACACCACGTCAAGCCCCTCATAATACCATCTGTGAGGGAATTACTACACCATGTCAGACCCCTCATAACACCATCTGTGAGGGAATTACTACACCACGCGATGCCCCTCATAACACCATCTGTGAGGGAGTTACTACACCACGTGAGGCCCCTCATAACACCATCTGTGAGGTAATTACTACACCACGTGAGGTCCCTCATAACACCATCTGTGAGGTAATTACTACACCACGTCAGGCCCCTCATAACACCATCTGTGAGGGAATTACTACACCACGCCAGGTCCCTCATAACACCATCTGAGGGAACTACTACATCACGTGAGTTCCTCCTAACACCATCTAGGAGGGAGTTACTACACTACGAGTTTGCTGTTCAACACCTACATTAATCTGTATGTTCACTGTATGTTCCTTTACCTTTCTCTGATGAAGGCTTTTGTTAAACCACCAATGTAGTATGTAATAAGTCATTTATGTCCAGTGTATATTTTCAGCCTTCGGGCTGCAGAATTTTTTCAATAAACCGTCAATTATTATTATTATTATTATCATTACACACACACACACTTCCCTTAAATGCAGGTTGTCGACCCCTGTCCTAAACCCCCTATCAGAGTGTCTTGGTAATATGACTTTTGTGATATCAGACTGTTCTACCAGTGACACAGAACAGTCATAAGTACCCACCAGGCATGTCCTCTGGTGCACTGCTTGGGGTTCTAGGATATACAAAGTACTGTATGTCTTCTGACTGGGGGAGTTAATGTAAACTGTCTTTAATGATTTTTTTGTTGTTGACAGGTCTAAATTGCACCACAATGCAGCTTTTGTGCAGTTACCAATAGGTTTAGAAAGCAACACAAAAGGAATCATCGACTTAGTGGGTCAGAAAGCTTTGTACTTCGAGGGAGATTTTGGGTAAGTAAATACAGTTTTAACACAAATGGGAAGAACTGAGAATAGATATTTGATTAAGGTATGTAACTTTTTAATACAGTGATCTTCCTAGTGATGTAACATAAAGTCATTGTTTGTTTCATCTCAGGTTTACTAGCGCACCAGGAATTGGGATTGTGGTGGTTAGCAGCAGAGGGTGTTTTGCTCTAGTTACTGCCCATCTCCCTAAACATATTCTCAAAAATGATAGCACTGTACAACCCAATATTCTAAGTAAACCATTAAATTTAAATCACTTGCAATGAATCCTTGCAAATTTGATATTGTGTGGGTTGTGGGTTGTTTGAATTAGCCCAAAATATAAAATTTTCCTAGTACCTATACAGTACACACATTTAAATCCCCCCCTCCTCCTCCTCCTCCCAAGCCAGAAAACCTGATTCAAGATTTCCTGGCATATGCTTGGATGCCTCAATTGCAAGCCTTCATTTCTTTATCAGTCACATTCTCAAGACTTGATGCCTACAGTTCATTTAAGGTAACATTCTCTGCCTTGTACAGTCTCGTTCAAGATTCTTCGAACACTGCTGGAGACAGCTGGCAACTCAAGGCCATTTGTTTACTATAATACATAGTTTAATATACGAAACAACAAAGCCCAACCATTAAATTTAACAACGAGGAACTAAGTAACCAATCACCGATCACTGTTACATTTATTCATAATTTTTACTATGTACTATAGTAAACAAACGGCCTTGAGTTGCCAGCTGTCTCCAGCGGTGTTCGAAGAATCTTGAACGAGATTGTACAATCCAATTAATTCTTCATGTACCTCAAAGTAATCAACCCATCAAAAACATATTTTGTTACTTGTTCTTGATTTGATACATCTGTAATCTCATCAACCATAATTGAAAATAATATACTGCATATACAGTATGCATATGCATAGACTGACAGTATGATCTCTATTGAGGGATGAAAGAATTGCATCATTTATGGGCGATCCCATTGGTGAGGGTTAAAGAAAGGTAGTTGGGTTCATACCATATAGGGGGACAACAGAGACAATATTAAATGCCAAGTAACTACAAGAGAAATATCTAGGGAAGGAGAGATATATCTACTTTGTAGACAGAGAAGGCATGTTAGAGGGTACCGCTACTATATGAGGTTGTACAGTGAGAAGTTTTTTTCTTTAGATTTTACCCATTTCTAAAAATAGGTATTTTACATAATTTTATTCATTTCATAAAACACATACTCTACATAATTTTACCTATTTCTTAAAACCCTTCAGTATCCCATTAAAGACAATATGTACTCTACATAAAAAGTTTGGGTGTCCAGAGCACCCCAGAGAGTCCCCAAAAAAGCAAATTCTAGTGTATTGAAGTCCAGTGTACAGTATAGAGGTTTTATTGTAATGTTAAAATTGAGGGTAGGAAAAGACTTGGGTGGATGAATAAAAAATTAAACGCTGGGTTCCTGGATACTTTATTTACAAGTTTGGGAAGATTAGTAAGACAACCAGAAAAGTTGGAGTGGATAATGTAGGTGTGGTCATAAACCCTCAGATGGCACTTGGATAGATTGAAGAAACTTAATTTTGGTTAAAGTTTGTAGGTGTGTATGAGAGCATTATTTTATTTTTTTTTAGAATTATATTGTACAGGAGGTCCCCGACGTGCGAACATCCGACTTATTAATGCCTGACGATACGATCGGGGTTAAACTTGAAATTTACATTACTGTATTTTATTTACCTGATGACTTATTTTTTACTTTAATATACTGTATTTTGTAATTCTATTTCTTCTTTTGTCTTAAATTAAGTGATTTTAGATGTATATAAGGACTTTGGCTATGATATAGTAGTGGGATTTTAAACATTGTTTTGTAAGTAAGGTATGCATATAGCATGTGTTCCAACTTACGAACGTCCTCAGGAATGGAACCCTTTCGTAACCTGGGGACCTCCTGTATTATGTAGGAAGCTAACATAGTGTTCCAACACATGGATAACACTCCATATATTTTTTATTAGAAATATTGTACGTGAGGATGAAATTCCAAGAGACATGAGTGTCGAGGTTGAGGAGCAGCGTATGGAACTTATTGAGCATCTCTCCAATGCGGATGACATCATTGGGGAAATGTTTTTGGGTAAGAAGAAATATTGGCAAAAATCACAATTGTGTTTCCAGAGTTTTTAACTTACCTGAAATATGGAAGTAAGGGTACAGATTATATAATCTATTTAGATTTTTTGTTTGCTGTAGAAAATAACATGATCTTAGTAGTGTTTTACTTGTTAAAAGGCTGCTATAAGTTTGACAAGATGCATTCTTGAAACAAATAACAGAGTTTGACATTGTTAATCATTCTGTATTTATTTATTTATTTTTATTTTTTGTAGCTAGAATAAATGAAAAGATTTAAGTCATGTAATTTAATTGTGTCTCCAACTATCATGTATTAAATCTTCAGAGGAAAAGACACCAACAGAGGCAGAGCTTCATGCTGGTATTCGCCGTGCCTGCCTCAAGCAAACCTTCACACCAGTTTTTGTGGGAACAGCACTGAAAAATAAAGGGGTTCAGTCACTCATGGAGTCTGTTATTAGATACCTACCAAACCCAGGGGAAGTTGATAATTTTGCTTTGCAGCTAAATAAGGCAGGGTAAGTATAGAATTATTACTCTAGCTTATCTTGCTTTTAGGGTGTCTTAAACACTTCACATATTTATTTGATCAATTATTTGATTTTCCAAAAGAAAAACAAGTGATGTCCTGTAGTGTGTTGACTGCCTTTCTCTTTGTCACTAAATCATAATTTACAAAGAACCTACAAATTATGTAGCCAAAGGCCCTAAACCACAGTAATACAGTATACTGTTTTTTATGGTAGAAATAGAGCATAAATGGTTCAGTGCATGCCTAGTGCATTAAATATAAGTTAAGCCATTTTAAAAACCGCATACAGTTTTTACCTTTCCATTTCAGTGAGGAAAAGAAGATCCTGTTGCATTCTGCACGTGATAATAGCCATACTTTTGTTGGCTTGGCCTTTAAACTTGAAGCTGGCAGGTTTGGCCAGTTGACATACGTAAGAGTCTACCAAGGATGCCTTAAGAAAGGGGAAGTTATATACAACTCACGCACTGGCAAGAAGGTGAATCAGTTTAATATTTTGTTTTTGTGTTTTTGTGGGTACTCTTATTGCTTTCATAGTTCTTAACAAATGGCAACAAACTGAATGTAAACTACAACCAAATTCTTCCAAACTATTTTTTAAATAACTACTCACTGTGAAAATTAATTACAGAGTACCTAGAGTTCACATGAAGAGAGTGTTGTGGAGTTTACTTTAAACTTAACGCTTAAACTGCTCTTCATATCCATTGATGATGCACATTTGACTGTTGGATTAACTAACCTGACCGTAACTTTGATCTTATCTCTCCCCTTATCTCGAGAGGATACAGTGAGCTACCACTAGATGGAGTTGGGGTGTATTTAGGGTTGCAAAGGCATGGAAAGTTTCCGTGAAGTTGGGAACTGTCATGAAAATTTTCTGTATTTTTTAAGGTGTGGGAATTTTGGAAATTTTGGTAATTTTCTTATATTTGCCCATTTTTACAGATTTGGAGCACATCAAATTCTAGATTGAACCTAATTTTATGAAATAAACTGTCATGCAGACAGTTAATGAATATTTATTCCTAAAATTCCGGGTGCAAATAACAATTAATTTCAAACATCCCCTAATTCAGTTACATACTACTGTACTGTAGTGTTGAAATTAGCACATTTTCTGAGTGAAGTTTTTATGAAAAATATCAAGTTATGCAGTTTGTATCACATTAGCATTAAAATATTTGCATTTAGTCTCATTAAATACCTATACCCGGTATGTACAGTATAATAATAATGGTTGCCCCTCATGTAACAAGGATGGCCTGTCCTTGGGCCACCTGTACTGTACTGTACTGTTATTCTTATTTGTTAGATAATGATAGGTTCAAGAAATTTACATGTTATAATGATTATACATCTCAGAGTAAATGAATACAGGAACATATCATTGGCATTAAAAGGAACTCGTATTATCCATGCAGGTTAAAGTATCCAGACTTGTCCAGATGCATAGTAATAATATGGAGGAAGTTTCTGAAGTGTTTGCTGGTGATATTTGTGCATTGTTTGGCATAGACTGTGCCTCAGGAGATACCTTCACAACAAATGCTAAGCTGAACATCTCAATGGTTAGTATTCCTTTCATTGTAGTACAGTACTGTACTTATGTAAGGGGTGGAAAACAGAAAGGTTTTTGTTATTATTTTTTCTATTTCTTCCTTTTCTTTCTAGAGAGCTCATCTCATGGGTGTATAGCTCCCAGGGTGCATTACTCCTTGGTTTTAATCTCACTGAATTAAAGACATCATGACTTAGACATCTGGCTGGTAGGCAGCTACCAGTCCACAGTAGCTGCAGGTATTCAGCTACAACACACTGTGCCTGAGATATGATGAGGGAAGCGTCACAAAGATTGTTTTAAAAGCCTAAACACAATTACACACAATCATATGTCTGGCATCGGCACAGATGATATTTATGTTACGTTAATTCTTACTTGGCACATGAGAATTTCACTATTAAAACATGAACAGTGATATTCACCAAATTTAACTGAGTTCAAATGACTTAACATGGCAGGCGTGAGGCACTAGCCACATACCTGAGATATGATGAGTGAAGCGTCACAGTGTCGCTTACCCTCCCTTACTCATTTATATACGAGGCTAACTGGCAACTCAGGCATGCCAAACATGCACTTCATGCATTACATATATTTCATTTAAATCAGTTGCTGTACATTTGGTTATGAAAATCAGTGTCATGGGTCAGATTTATTTCTTACATCTATTGTTACAATCTAATCAGAGTTTGAGCTTGCCGGGCACTATTGAAATGGGCTTCAAATGCACAAACTGGTAATGTCTTTCTTACGACCTCATCAGAATTTAGACAAGGGCCTACTGAGAGTTTGCCATTAGATCTTGGAGATAAGAAGACTGACATATTCTTTTCAGGATAATAATTACTTTCTAAAATCTAAAACTGACAATAATTTCAATACAAACATCAGATTCTCTGATGATTGGGAATCAAAATGATCTAACTTCAGTAGCAATTTGGCACTCAGGGTGTCCCTAAGGATGGGTCAGTGATTCGTTGCTTCTACTGGCAGACTCTACAAGTACTCTTAACTTATTCGAAAATTTTATCAAATGGTAAATACAGTTGAAACTGTCAACATCACTCACGAGGGATCTTGAAGGTTTCATCTGTAATGAGACATATCTAATTTGATATGACATATACACATTCAGTTGCATTTTCAAATTTCATAACATGAGATGAGATACTAAGGAATATCAGAGTCTCAGTACCACATGGAGAGAAAACAGAGGCCTCAGGCATTCTGAAATGGTGAGAAAATGGATGTCTCAACTGGGGGACTCGATAAAAAAGTTACAGCTACATGTTTTATGGGCTATTGAGCGTAATTTGAATCATCTGATTTTATGTTAACTAACATATACGACCGTGGTCAGTACACTTAAATGCATATAAATTATCTTGATTTTAAATAGGTTAGTGAATTTCCTTTCATATTTCTTTAGATATCCTGTAGAGCTTGTCCAGTTTAGATATTAAGGTTTTAATTTGTCACTTTGTAACCCATTGAATTATGGTTCAAAATAGGCATAATCCACTCAATTCTATGGATTCCTCAGTAAGATATGCTGAAAAATGCTTATTATACCCTATGAAAAATTTTTATGGCAAAATTATAATGTCAGTGGGTAAAACATATACTGTATATAAGCTTCAAGTAAACATTACACTACTTATTTTAGAAAATATCTTTCATACTGTTAAAAAGTGAAGAAAATATTCTGTTATAGTACAGTATTGGCATTATTTGCAGTACTAATAAACAGTAAAACTCCTTATCCTTGTATACATTGGTTGGCTAGTAAATTTTTAACACCAATACTTACCTAATTTAGTTAACAGCCACCACACTAATATTTTATCAAATTTGCTTAGAGGAAATAATTAAGGTAAATTGAATTTCTGTGTACCCTGTACTGCACTGTACTGTATAATTTTCATTACTATACAAGGTGTGCATTTTGATAGTGGGGAATGGGAGGAAAAGGAAACCCTCCCATTAATGGAATTCTCCCAATAACAGATGCAGGGTTTGCATGATTTAGTTTGGTATTGGAAGAGTTTACAGGACTTGTGTCAATTTGGTTATACCTGTTTCATTAATTTCTGTAAATACTTGTACACTAACTTCATTATTCTCTCACACTTTTTATGTTATTAAGTCTGCAAATAAGCTTTCAATGTGTCATCATTCTCCTACAATCTTCATATAACTTACTCCTCAAACTCATGTGAAGACAAGTGGTCTCTTCACTCACACTACACACACATAGTAAGTGAGCCATTTGTCTGATTGTCCAATTTATCGTCATTTACTTAATCTCATGTAATATTTGAAAAATTACAAAAAAAGGTAATGTACAGTATTCTATATTCTTAATTTTCATATATATTTATACTGTATATATATATATATATATATATATATATATATATATATATATATATATATATATATATATATATATATATATATATATATATATATATATATATATATATATATATATATATATATATATATATATTATATATATGTGTGTGTGTGTGTGTGTGTGTGTGTGTGTGTATGCAGTATATATATATATATATATATATATATATATATAAATATATATATATATATATATATATATATATATATATATATATATATATATATATATATGATCCCTCGTTTAGCTCCTGTGTTAACGTAAATTTGGGTTGAACTGCCTTCATATGGATCTTCAATTGGTTAACGAACAAAAATTGGGTTACTTGAATTTCTTCTTAACCGACCTCAACATGTTTTGCTTGCACTGACCAGGCAACCCAGCTTTAGTGTCAGTCCGCCAATACATTAATGGGTTCTGGGCTTAAATTCCTTACTATTTTAGTAAATATCAAAGTTTATACTTTCAATAATTTTAAAAGTTTAATATTAAATTTTTAGTCATTTTAACAATTATTGAACATAATTGAGTAAAGTGACTAGTTTAATCGTGGCATCAGCCTCTTAACACAGCAAACAGGCGTTAGTCTCTCTGTTTTCACTGGAGGTAACATCTTGCTTGAGACTCTCTTCAACTAAATCTTTTTCTGTGTTTTCTAAGCAAATTATTGGTCATTTTGAAATATATTTTACATATTGACAATATATAATGCGGTGCAGTGTTGATTTAAAAGAAAATAATCTTGAATTACACCAAGAGCTAAATTTATGGGTGAAATGGCGCCATGGGGTGACTTCTCTTCACCCCAATGCCTTCTCTTCTTCCTTCTTCCTTCTCCTCCACCCCATTCTAAATCCATCATCATCATCATCATCATCCAGGAGCCTTCTACATACACACTTCAAGTAAGTGAACCTTTCTTACCATTTTGTTATTTAGGAAATTTTTAGGTGAGCTGGAACCAGTACCAAAACCCATTGAAACAATGGTTTGGTTAACGAACGACCTTCTGGAACAGATTGAGTTAGATTAACCGAGATCACTGTATATAATATATATTATATATATATATATATATATATATATATATATATATATATATATATATATTATATATATATATATATATATATATATATATATATATATTATTTATATATATATATATATTATATATATATATATATATATATATATATATATATATATATTATATATATATATATATATATTATATATATATATATATATATATTATTTATATATATATATATATATATTATTATATATATATATATATTATTTATATATATATATATATATTATTTATATATATATATATATATTATTTATATATATATATATATATTATTATATATATATATATATATATTATTTATACATATATATATATTATATATATATATATATATATATATATTTATATATATATATATGTTATATTTATATATATATATTATATATATTTATATATATATGTTATATATATATATATATATATATTGTTATATATATATATATATATATTATTTATATATATATTATATATTATATATTTTATTTTTGTGTTTGGAATGTGTGTTGTGTTTGTGTTTGTGGTTATATATATATATATATATATATATATATATATATATATATATATATATATATATATATATATATATATATATATATATATATATATATATATATATATTATATATATATATATATATATATATATATTATAGGTGCGTGATCCTATTGTGATAAAGAAAAGTTGTATTACATCTTCAGGGTGAATACAGACTACTCACCTGAATGTAGCCTTTTGATTATATATATATATATATATGTCATTTTCTTATAAAAAACCATTTTACACCTTACAGGAGTCCATGTTTGTACCTGATCCAGTTATATCTATGGCTATTAAACCAAAGAAAAGTAAAGATTTGGATTGTTTCAGCAAAGCTGTTAATCGATTCACAAAAGAAGATCCCACTTACAGGGTGCATTGGGATAATGACAATAAGGAAACCATTGCCTCTGGCATGGGGGAGCTTCACCTGGAAATATGCTCAGGTAGGTGAAATATGCACCATTGTTTTATTTTAGAATATCAGCCATTTGAGGGCAATAAAGCAGGAGAGTACAGTACTAGGGATATTGGGCATGTACAAAACTTATTTGTCTGTTAAGCCTCGTACACACCAAGATACATTGTCTAGAAACAGTCACGCAACAATGTTTCTGGACTGTTGCGAGACAATCCAGAAACAGTCCAGAAAAACTTGGGAGGCCGCAGCAACATTGTTACTGGACTCTAGCGACTGTTGCGAAACAGTTCAGAAACATTGACGGTAAACTTAGTTGCTGGATTGTTTCGCAACAGTTGCGAGACAATCCAGCTGTTATTGTTGCACGTGCAGACCAAGCTAGAGCGATGAATTGGCAGTTAGAATAGTCGACGTCGTCATGTCGGTGGATGCAAAAGTGGCGTTGTGGCGGGTGCCCGTGTTGTTATTTCCTTAGAAGAAAAGGCGGAGAGCAAGGAAAAAGCCTAGATAATGGTGGATGAAGAAATTTTTTGAAGAAGGAACAACATATGGAGAAAAACTAATGACAGTCCTGAAACTAGAAGATGCAGCTGGATGGATTTAGAAACTTTTTAAGAACAACAGCTTCAGATTTTGAAATATTACTGAAAATGGTTGGTTCTAAAATCACAAAGCAAAATACAAACTATCGAGCCTCAATCCATGTCAAAAATACCAGGCAGTAACATTATGGTATCTTACCAGTGGGCAATATGGCGCTTCTA